CCAATGACGGCGGTACTGTACACTCCGTCTGCTGGACTGTAAGGGTTTTCTTATGTTTTGGTGTCAAGCATGTTATTGGCTTCTAAGGTGTTAGCAGACAAACTCTACTCAGTTAACCCTCTCTCTCCTTAAAGGCAGTACTGGGGATTATCTAACCCTTGGGTTTGTGCCCCACAACCCTGACTGCCATCTGGTTGTGTATCTGGTTGTGAATGTGTCATTTACTCACTCACTCAGTCCGTGTTCAGTGTCTACACTGTCCGGGACACCCTTCCAGGTATTGGGAAAATTTACATTCTACTCGTGGGATAATAGATTAATTAGCATATTACATACATGGGGATGTTTGAAGGATTAACATTTTTTTATTTATGTGCATGTGGGAGTGTGTTTATGCATGTGTGTGCCAAGTGTGTGCTGGTACCCTCAGGATCCAGAAGAGGATTTACAATTTTCTTGGAGCTGGATTGATACATATACACATACGTGTTATAAGACATACGCAATTTTTTTTCCGGTGTTGGGGATTGAACCCGGGACCTTGCACGTGCAAGGCAAGCATCCACTACTGAGCTGTATCCTAGGCTGTCTGTCTTATTCTATTTAAATTTTGCTTATGTGTGTTTGCTTGCTGGGGTTTGTGTGCACTATGTATGTGAGAGTGCCCTTGAAGTCCAGAAGAGGTGGGTGATGCCCTGGAGCTGGAGTTGCAGATGGCTGTGAGTTGTCAGAGGGGTTCTGGGAGCCAAACCCATCATCCAGTGCTCTCAGCCACTGGCACTCTCAGGGCCCTTGCTCAGTTTTGAGGTGCAGCCAGGCAGGACTCGATCCTGTGATCATATGGTCTCAACCTCTCAGATGCTGGGATGGCAGAGAACGACAGGCTTCTGCTGCCACGCCTGGTGCATGATGTAATTTTTTAAAAATTTTTTTATTTTTTACTTTATATGCATTGGTGTTTTTGTTGCATGTGTCTGTACGAAGGTGTCAGAACTCCTGGAATTGCAATTACAGTTATGAGCTTCCACGTGGGTGCGGGGAATTGAAAGCATGTCCTCTGAAGAGCCACCAGAGTTCTTAACTGCTGAGCTATCTCTCCAGCCCCCTGCTGCCTTGATTTCTTCTGCCTCTGTGGTTTTACACGGGAGCGGAGCCCACTGTGAGTGAGTACTGCTGGTGCACAGCCCTCTCTGTTGCCCATAATCGATGACGCAAGCAGAGCAGGAGGAAGCATCTCGACCTGGTTACTTCTGCCCACCTTGGACAGCTCCGAGGGACAGAGCCATGCACAGAGGCCGCTAAGGTGTCTGGAGGGCCTGTGCCCCGGGTCAACTTCTTCCTTGCTATGCATCCTTCTCTCTCTCATAGGCCATCATCCCAGGGGAACATGGAAAGTATAGAACCCCAAACCCAGGTGCTGGAGAGTGCTTAAGAGCACTTATTGCTCTCAAGGCATGCCTGGTTTCCCACCCACACGGGGCAGCTCACAGCTGTCACTCCAGCTCCAGGGGCTCTGATGCCCTCTTCTGGGCTCTGAGGGATCCTGTATGCACATGCCACGCAGTCCTCCGGCCTCATATACATGTACATACATAATAATAAATAAGCAAACAAAGAAGGAAAACCCTGTCTTGGCTCCGCTTCCAGGAAAGTGTAACGAGGCGCTCAAATGTCTGACACTCCGTGTGGAACAGCGTGGCTGCTGTCCGTCAGTGTGGGTAGGGGACTGACTTGGGCGGGGCTTCTCCAAAAATCCCCTTTACAGGGAAATCTCAGGTGGACTGCACATCCTACTGTAATATGGAAAGGCAGACCTTGACCTTCTCCTGGCTGGGGTGGGTGTGAGGCTGCTGCTTCCAAGATGATGGACACAAAGGTAGGAGAAGCCGCTCTCTGGCGGAACCCTTGTCACCTGTGCAATGCCCACGGAGCTAGCGCTCCAGCCGCTCCAAAGATCCACTGTAATGCTTCCTTTGTGTCCTATACTCATGGACCCCCAACACCCGTGGGCGCCCACAAATGACAAGGCTTTCTTCCGCCCCCCGCGCCTCACACAGTGCATGTGCGCCTCAGTGCATCGGTAAAGAGACAACCTGCGAGAGTTAAGTCTCTCCTGTCCTGGGGATTGAACTCAGGTCACCAGGTTTGGCAACAAACACCTTTACCCACTGAACCATCTTCCCGATCCAAATCTTTCTCTTCTACACTTTAAATACATGACCATTTGTCTGTAAGCCAAACAGCCCAGCTAGCATCAAGGCAAATGGCTTTCTTTATCTGGTATCACCCATTTCCTTAAATTTCCCCAGACCCCGATGTCTTCCCATTTTGATGTGCACCCACTTTCCAGGCTCCAACCTCTTTGGCCTTTGCCTTCTTCCTTGGCATGTAGTGTTCCTCCTGCCCCAGGGCCTTTGCACTTGCTGCTCTTGGAGTCACTCCCATCTCTCATCCCAAGCTAGGAGTCTACCTTCTATTTGTCTGTGAAATTTCATCTAAACTGTCGCCTCCTGTAAATCGTCCATTAGTCCCTGGTTAAGTAAGCCTTCCTGTTACCCAGAACAAATTTCATAAGAACACTACACGTAAATGGCTCAGATAATTAAAAAAAAATGATGGTGTGTGTGGGGCAGGTGCTGGAGAGATGGCTGGGAGGGGGTTAAGAGCACTTGCTGCTTTTGCAGAGGACCCTGGTTCAGTTCCCATCACCCACAACGGCCTGCAACTCCAGTTCCAGGAGGGCCAGACACCATCTCCTGCCTTCCATGAGCACTGTACACACATGGTACACATATACATACGTGCAGACAATAATGAAACAATCATATACATGAAAGAAAATAAATTAAATTTTAAAGTGACAAGGGATCTCTCTCTATAAATTCACACTGTGGAATGTGGTTGACCTGGAGCCAAAGCAATGGCTCTGAAGGAAGCCTTAGCTTTTTTTTTTTTTCCAAAGAGAGTTTTAACCTGTGAGCACTCTGCTGGTTAGGTATTCATCACCATGACACAAGCTAGGGTCACTGGGAAGAGGAAACTTCAACTGACAAATTGCCTCCATCAGACTGGCCTGTAGACAAGTCCATGGCACATTATCCTGGTTAATGCTTGATGTGTTAGGGCCATGCCCATTGTGGGTGGGGCCATCCCTGGGCTGTTGGTCCTAGGTGCTACAAAAAAGCAGGCTGAGCAAGCCAGCCATGGGGAGCCAGCCAGGCAGCAGCACTCTTCCAGGGTCCCCGCATCAGCTCCCGCCTCCAGCTCCAGCTCTCAGCCCTTGCCCGACTCAGTGAGTGACAGGGTGTGGCCTGAAAGTGATAAAATGAAATAAACACTTGCCGCTCCGAATTGCTGTTGGTCATGGAGTTATCACAGCACCCAACAGCCAGCTAGCACAGACATTCTTAGTCAGAGCCATTCATGCAAAAGTCAAAAGAGTTAATGGGGTAAGGAGGCTTGCCACCAAGCCTGGCAACCCGGGAAAGCCCCACCCCACCATGGGGGAAGGACAGAACCAACTCCTGCATGTTCTCCTCTGACCTCCGTGTGTGTGTGTGTGTGTGTGTGTGTGTGTGTGTGTGTGTGCACGCGCGCTCACGCGTGCTGCTCACACACATGTGCACCCACCCCACAAGACAAACGAACAAAATAAATAAACCTGTAAATGCTGTTAGCTGACAGAGAACTAGCCTTAGAAGAATTATAAACAATAAAGTCTAGAAACCGCGTTGAAGAATAAAAACCATCACTGAAACAAACAGCACTTGGGACTGTAGATTCAAGAATACTTCCTACCCCTGCCATCCAGCAATGGGGGCTCAACCAGGGGACCTGCCTGTGACAGTCGTGGACACCACCGGCGGGTTCCGCCTTCAGTTAGCCCTCATCTACTGCTGTCACTGTTTTGGCTTCTCATTTTGAGACAGGGTCACGCCCGTCCTGTACTCACTCTGTAGCCCTAGCCAGCCTTGACCTTGCCAATCTCCAGCCTCAGCCTCTTGAGTACTGGGGATTCAAGATGAACTGCCAGGCCTGGCTTTGAGCCTTCCCAGGTCACAGCTGGGGAGCTCTGAATGTCTGGGGTGTGAGGTCACTGATTTACAGGGGTCTTCTATGAGGCATCTTTCCGTGAGTGACGCTTCGGGGATTGCTTTGACCTTCCTTCTTTCCCCCATTCCTCTTCCTCCTCTTCTTATTTTTGCTTTTTTTTCTTTTGTGACAGGGTTTCTCTGTGTAGATCTGGCTGTACTGGAACTCACTCTGTAGACCAGGCTGACCTCGAACTCACAGAGATCCACCTGACTACTTCCTGAGTGCTGGGATTAAAGGTGTGTGCCACCACACTCAACTTTCTTTTTCAAGAATTCATTTATGAATTTATGTGTATAGGTGTTTTACCTGCATATATGTCTTTGCATTGTGCATGTCTGGTGTCTGAGGAGGCCGGAAGAGGGGTGTCAGAGCCACCTGATTGGATTTGCAGACGGTTGTGAGCCACTATGTTGGTGCTAGGAATTGAACCCAGGTCCTCCGGGAGAGCAACCAGTACTTTTAACCTCTGAAACACCTGTCCAGCCCCCTTTTTTGTTTGTTTTCCTTTCCTTTTCTTTTTTTCCCTGAGGCAGGATTTCACTCTGTAGCCGAGGCTGGCCTACTACTCACAATGTAACACAGGGCAGTCTTGAACTCGTGCCAATCTTCCTGCCTCCGTCTTCCGGGGGCTTGGATCCTAGACACAGTGCCACTGTGCTCCACTGAGATTTCTTCAGCATTCTGCTGAATGGTGCCAGCCATCGGAGCAACGGGAGAGGGTAAAGCAACGGGAGGTGTGGCCGACACGATCTTCTGCCAACTCGTTATCAGAGGTCCTCTCTGTGGTCTTTTCATCCCACGCTTCGGTTGCAAAGAGGAAACCCACCCGCCCGAAAGCAGCACGTCCTGAGCTGGCTTTGCTGGGACCACCCAAGCCTTGCTGGCGAGGGCCCTGTGCTGCCTACCTTCTTGTGCACCATGGAGGAGCTGGAGTTGACGGGGCCCTCATCCTCCTGCATTATGACGAGCTCGGGGCTGCTCTCGTCCATGACTTCCTGTATGCTGTTCACACTGCTGCCCCGGCTGCCTGTGCTCACCGACACGCTGGGGATGGAGTGGATGCTGCCCAGGCTGTCCACCTCCCTGTTCAGGTTGCTCCCATGCTCACTGTCCTGTAAAAAAATGGGCACCGGGATTAAAACGCAAAACACCTGGAGACCTAGTGCCGACCCACTGACCAGGCCACTGAGTGGTGAACTGCTTCTCTGTTGGTGTGCAAAGATTGTGTGTGTGTGTGTGTGTGTGTGTGTATGAGTGTGTGTGTGTGTGTGTGTGCACGTGCGCGCCTTGAATTTTGTGACAGAGTTCTCTCACTGGTTGGAATTTGCCGAGTAGGCTAGGCTGGCTGCCTAACAATCTCCAGGGAGCTTCCTGTCTCTGCCTTCCCAGAGCTATGATTATCAGCACGTGTCATGACCCCTGGCCTTTCTTTCTAAATATGGGTTCTGGGGAGGGAACTGAGGTCCTTATGCCTACACAGTAAGTGACTTATCAACTCAGCCATGTCCCCAATTCCTCATTTATCATCATCATTATTTTTTTTTTAAATGGAGGATCTTTGGGGATACTCTGCCATGATCAGACATCCCACACTCATTTCCATGCCTCCCTCAGGGCCACTCTGGTCTTCAGACTCCGAATGCTACCATCCCAGGACTTTCCCCTGCCATACAGTGACCATGACATTATGGGATTGTCCCGTATGTGTCATGAGTTGGGCTCTTGGGGAATACCAGGGTCCTCCAAAAAGTCACTGCTGGCCACCAAACTGATGATCTCCACAATACCCGACGTTGCCGCCTGAGGTTAGAATGCAGTAGAGGGGGCTTTTAGAGGAGACAAACGGTATGCTCCCCCTGCAGGCTGTTAGTGAGTAACTGCATATGGGCCAGGGGTGTGAGTCCTACTGTCTGAGGTAGGTAATTCAATTCTGCCTCCATTAAGAAAGTCTGCCATGCTTTCTTCTTTGATCTCACTAAAAATATGTGTTAAAAGCTAGGTGGTGGTGGCCCATGCCTTTAATCCCAGAACTCGGGGGAGGGGGGGAGAGGGGGAGGGAGGCAGAGGCAGGCTGAGCTCTATGAGTTCCAGGTTAGCCTGGTCTACAGAGCTATTACAAGACAGCCAGAGCTGTTACAAAGAGAAACCTTGTTTTGGAAAACCAAAAGAGTTAAGTAATACTGGCATGCATTACCACCAGGACAAAGACTAACAATGGGATGGAGTGAAACAGTGTGAAGATGTGGCTGCCATCATAGAGGAGGCTCCCCCACCACAGGATTAAATGTCACCAAGTCAATTTACTATTTTCAAACCCTACTATACACAAACAAACTTAGTAAACTCCTATGCAGACATGAGCACACAAGCAATCACTCAGGAATACAAAATGGTAGGCAATACACCACTTTTTGAAGACAGGGTCTCAGTATGTAGCCACGGCTGGCCTGGAACTCGATCTGAGACCGGGCTAGCCTTGAATGCACAGAGATCAGCCTGCTTCTGCCTCCCTAGCGCTGGGATTAAAGATGTCTGCTTCCACATCCCACTATTAACATGTCATATTTTAATGCACTCATTTTCTCAATTAATGGGATGCCAATTGTCTATACTGATCAAGAGATTTCTATAGTCCAGTTCCTATTTTTGAATTTTATTACTGCTAAAATAATTTTGTCTTATTTAAAGTTAAACATTAGCACTCACTGTTCCTCTCTAGTCATTTGTCTAAGATTTATCGTGTGTTAGTTATTTGTCTAAGATTTATCATGCACTATGGTGGACTTATGGGGTCAGAGGATAACTTCAGGAGTTGGTTCTCTCTTCGGGGGGGGGGGGCGGGGAACTGGAGGTCTAACTCTGGTAGACAACAGGTTCCTTTTCCAGTTGAGGAGCCATCTAATTGGCCCTCATCCAATGCTTTCAGCTGGTGAAAGGCCAGGAAGCCATCTTTCCTTTGAAAACTCACGGTAACACGGTGTCAAGAGAACCAGACTCAGGGACTTTTAAAATCTCATAGGCTCCGCTCTGAAGTAACCTCAACCTACCCTTATTCTCTGGCCCAACCTGCCCCAAATCCATGCTCCTCCTGCCTCAGCCTTAAAGTGCCAGGATGGCAAGCACACACTGCCATGCCTAGCCTCTCCCTGATGCTGGCACACTTCTGGGCAACACAGGCTCCCCGACACCATGCTTCCATCACTTTCTCTTTTGGTGAGAGCCACATGTTACCAAAGTCTACCTTTCCCCATTCCTTACCACTTAGCTCATGGGTAGACTGGTGCCCGGGATGTCTCCCATCCTAGTCCGCTTACGCTCTGCAGCCGGGATCGTCCTCCCCGAGCAAAGCACTTACCTGAGTCTAATGCGGACCAAGCCCTGGAGAAGGGGCACTGACTCGCCACTAGCCGCGAGCTATAGGAGGTGAGGACTGCTGGGGGCTGGGGGAAAGGGTCAGTTTTCTTTAGGGATGAGGCTCCCGGAAGGCTGACAAGCTCCAGTGGGCCGTCTCATATTGATGTACAGACTGAGTGAGTTAAGAAGGAGATGGGAAATTGAGAGGATAGTGGTGTGCCGTGGTTTGAAAGAAAATGGCCCTCAAAGGGAGTGATGCTATTAGGAGGTGTGGCCTTGCAGTGGGTGTGGTCTTGTTGGAGGAAGAGTGTCACTGTGGGGGCGGGCTTTGAGATCTCATACATATATGCTCAAGCCATGCCCAGTCAGACAGTTCACTTCCTGTTGCCTTTGGGTCAAGATGTAGGACTCTGAGCTCCTGCACCATGTCTGCCTGCACGCCAACACGCTTCCCACTGTGATGACGATGGACTGAACCCCTGAACTGTATGGGAGCCACGCCCAAATAAATGTTTTCCTTCTGAGTTGCCATGGTCATGGTGTCTCTTCAAAGCAACAGAAACCCCGACTAAGACAGGGCAGGTGGGTGGGATGGTCCCGAATGCAACTGAAAGGCTTTGCACGCATGTGTGAGATGCTCAAATAAACTACAAATAATTCAAAATCTGTGCTGTGCTCATTCTTGAATGCTCCCTCCAGCCCATGATACTGCTGGACCCCTGCCTAGCACTGTCCCCCGCCCCCACAGTACCTTTCATATTCTCCCTTAAGTAAGAGTTGCTGCATTTGTGTCTGTTACCCAGGGTAGGTAGGCGACAGAGCACCCGCCCGTCCCATTCCCATCCATCCTTCAGAGTGTTTTCCCTGTGCCAAGCCTGGAAGCTGATATCAGGGGGACCTACTTCTTCTTCTTCTTGCGACTCATTCAAGGGTCCGTTCCGAGTCTCCTGGAAGAGGATCTTCTTCATTTTTCTGTACTGCAGGTTGTCCAACTCTCGGACAGCATCTTTTGTCCTCTGTATGAGGTCAATGAGGACCCGTGGTGGTCGCTCCCTCCGAATGAAGTCGTGCTGATGGACAGGGGAGGGAAACACTGATGGTGAGCAGCGATGTAAACACACAAGCAGGAAAGGAAGAGAGGTAGGCTCACAGCCCTTAGAAATGGACATGATCTTAAGGCTGGTGTCCCTCATGGGGATCCCCACCCTTCCCACATTCTGTCCTGAGCTCCCTTTGCAGACTCGGTTCTCCCCGTGAATTATTTTTTGTTTGTTTTTGTTTTGCTAAGCAGGGCAGTGCATGATTTTAATTCCGGCACTGGGGAGGCAGAGGCAAGGGGGTCTCTGTCTCTGTGTGAGTTTGAGGCCAGTCTGGTCTACATAGTGAGTTCCAGGCCAGTTGGGCTACATCGTGAGACCTCCTCCAAAGGATTTCCCTTGTTAGTTATATATATTTATGGTATGCAGTGGGATGCTCTGGTACAAACTGGAGTAATGGGAGGCAGTTACTACACCGTCATTTCCCATGATGTAGCAAAGCTGCTTAAAACCCACTGCTTTCAAAATTTGCATGGCACCTACAGTTTTCAGGTCGGACTTTAGGTCTCAATACTCAGTACTGAGGCGGAGGCAAGAGGGTCCCTGTCTCTGTGAGTTTAAGGCCAGCCTGGTCTACAGAGCGCGTCCCTGGCCAGGCAAGGCTACATATCGAGACCCTGCCTCAAACAGCAACAAAACAATAGCTTTATTGTTCTTTACAATGTTTAAAGATTCAAATAATACGGAAAAGTGCTTAAAGGAAAATAAAGAAGCGGGAATTCCAAATTCCATCATCCAGAAGAATATATTTTAAATTAAAGGATGTCAATTTAGGTCTTATCATCCCATCCCCAGCAACACATACAAGAACAAAGACTTTTAAGAAAATATTTTCAAGTGTGAACTGTATCATACATTCTAATTTAAGTATAATCTATAAAGCTGAAGATGCACTTGGATTTCACAGAATTAGAAGAGAGTGAAATAAAATAATTGCCTCGTTTTAGTTATATATATATTTTTCTCTGCCAGCATTATCTATTCCTAAAACTCCCTTTAAAATTAAGAAGAGTCATGAATTCGAGAGAAAGCCCATCAGGTGGGTGGGTGTGGGGGATGGTGGTGAGGAGCACATGGGAGGGGTTGGAAGGAGGGAGGGGAAGAGGAGAAATTATATAATTATATTTTAATTTCAAAAATTAAAAAAAATGACACAACCTGGGTACAAATGTGATCCTCAATAAATAAATAAATAAATAAATAAAATTGATTAAATTGTGGATCGGTGGGTAAGGGTGACTGCCACTGAGACTAACGGTGACCCGAGAGTAACAGCCGGGACCCACACAGTGGAGGGAGAACAGAGGGAGGGTCGTGCGTGTGCTAGGGCACGCATGCTCATGTGCGCGCATTCTCTCTCAGAATAAATATGTCAGCATAATAAAACATATCAAAAAATAAAGACAAAACACCATGCAGGCTTTCGAGAGCCAGGTTACCTGTATCAAAACACTGTATTTTTATCTGAAAAATAGGAACCTTAATACACCGATAATTTCCCGGCTCTAGTTTTCTCTGGTTGCCTTTGAACTTTTGATTTTACCAATGTTTGTTACATCGCATTGCTGCTTTTAAACGTTCTGATAGTTTTTACCTTAGTTCTATATTTAAATTATTCAATGTAAAAGCGATGTTTTAGTGTCAGGAAGAAACTACGGGGAAATGGGGGTTATTGGAAAACATTCAGGGGTAATTAGATAGCCAGCTGGAGGGAAAAGTATGACCCTTAAGTCACGGGTTTTGAAATGCATGCAAGGCTCCCCCCAGCACAAAGGCCCCTGGATGCCTCTGGGATCGCAGTCCCCAGAATTATTACTTTTGCTCAGGGTTGCTTTGGCTACCAGTGGTCTTTTCTGGTTCCATATGAATTATAGGATTTCTTTTCCTATTTCTGCAGGGAATGTTCAGGTACTTTGATTGGGATTCATGTGAATCTGTTTATTGTTTTGATAGGATGGTCACTTCCACAACATAATCCAACCAACTCATGAACATGGGATGCCTTTCCAGTTTCTAGTTGGTGTCTTCCTTAGTCTTCTTTTTCAGAGATTTGAAGCTTTCTTTTTTTCTTTATTTTATGTGTAGGGGACTGAGTCATAAACAGTTGTGAACCATCATGTGGGTGCTGGGGATCTAACCTGGGTCCTTTAGAGGAAGAGCAGTCCCTGTTTCTTCTTCTCCTTCTGTTTTTGTTTTGTTTTGTTTTGTTTTTTTGAGACAGGGTTTCTCTGTGTAGTACTGGCTGTCCCAGAACTTGATCTGTACACAACTCCCAGAGATCTGCCTGCGACTGCCCCCCAAGCACTGGGATTAAAGGCATGTGCCACCACCACGCCTGGCTCCTGCTGCCCATGCTTTTAACTGCAGAGCCATCTTTCTAGTACTGAGAACTGAAGCTCTCACTGGAAGGTCTTTAACAGTCATGGTTAGGTTTTCAAAAAAATATCTCGGATGTTATTGTAAATGCAAGTGTGCCCCATGACCTCTTCCTCGGTCTGTTTGTTAGTAGATATAGAAAGGCCTACTGATTTTTTAAAGTTGATTTTGGGACTAACACAAGATTCAGTACCAGGCACAAGAAACCTCCTTTGAAATGGTTGGTCAGGTTAGTCTAAGTGACTTCCAAAACATAGATTATATACGGAGCGTTAGGTTGCCTCTCAACGGTAGAAGGTAGACCTTTACTGCTGAAGAAAGCACACACTCAGGACAGAGGAATTGTGTGATTTGACCTGGAACTGACCTGCCTGTCTCTTTCCTGTGACCTAGCTTCTGTGTTCCAGAAATTACTATGCAAGCTGCCAAGGTAGGAAGGCAATTAAACAGACCAACCCGCCCAGCTGTAAGACCTATGAACCATGACAATGACCAGCATGGCAGGATGATGTCACACCTTTACCGTGTGAGAAGTGGCACTCACGTGTCGGAGGCAAACCACAGCTGCCTAACTGGACTCAAGGCCCACTCAGCAGGAGGGGCATCATGCCTGGTGCTAGCCTGGCTCACTAGTCATATTCCTGGGGCTAATGGGGTCAGGGACCTCAGATCAGACTTTGCCAGACCAGCGTAACTCCTTACCAAACTCCAAATCTTATCTTTATACCCACTGATAAATGTGACTACCATCAAAGAAGTCTCTTCTAACTGCAATGGAGACCATCACAGAAAACTATGACTGGACCCAAGGCAGACACCAATAGAGGTGGGTCGCCACGCCCCAACATATACATCCACATCACAGCTCCTGAATCTGTGGTCAGGCAATACCATGGAAGAGAAGGCGGGAAGCCTGTAAGAGCCAGAGCGCCAGGAAGTCTGCTGTGAGACAGCCTCTCTAGAAAGGGCTGCATGTTTGAGTAACACAACCCTTCTGGGATTTTCTCGTAAACAAACCAACAAACGAAACTGGCCATAAAAGGATCCATTCTGAAGGTGAAAGGAACAATGGGACTGAGTAAACATACACACATAAAAATGTAGGTCTGGATGGTTCCTTGCCAAGCAGGAAATGTTTACACCATGACGGATGCCCACCCACTACACAGACAGTGATGGACCACAGCATCATCGCGTAAAACCAACACACAACATGCGACAAGAGGCTCAAGAATGTGAGGTTCAAATCAATCCAATGTATATTCATTTAAAGAAAAAAGTCAGAAATCCAAAGTAGAAGAAAAACATTGCACAATGGAAACTTTGTTGTTTGAGAGAGGCTGTCAAGTAGCCGAGGCTGGCCTTGAACCCCTGATGCCTCTACCTCCAGAGCTGGGTGTGATGACAGTCTACTCCTACAACACCAACGCTGGGAAAGTGGAAGCAAGAAAGTGGATCATAAGATCAGACTGGGCACGTGGTGAGGTCACAGGCATGCCACCATGGCCTCCTGAGTACAGTTAAGGGACACTCGTGTAGCTCAATGGTATGACCCGAGTATCTGTTTTGAGATCATCACCTGACATCTTTGTTGCCTGGATTTGACACCGGCCTAACCGAAATTTTCAGAGTTGGCATTGGTGGTGTTGGCAGATGCCCAGGGATGGCAAGCAGAGCCGGGAGGAGAAACGGTCTGTACTAAGGCAATACTGGAGGGCAGGGAGGATAACACAACCCGGGGGACAGAGTCGGGGGATGGCGGGAAGGACGTGGATCCCAAAAACCTTCCCGGTTGTGACCAGGGAGCATGCCATAAACCAGCACCTCACAGTGCCCGGCCATGGAGTAACTGTTGCCCCGTGGCCAGACTTCATGGCCCCTCCCCAGATGGAAACGGGAAAACTCACCTGCAATAATTCCACCGCGGCTGGTCTTTCCTGAGGTATTTTGTGCAAGCAGTAATCAACGAATCTCCTGAAGGAGTTGGTCCTGTGTGAGCGAACACACCGAGGAGAGCAGTGAGGGACACGCAGGCAAAGTGCTTGGGAGATAATGCTTTGCAAATCGGGAGACTGTGTACATGCATGTAGTGTGTGTGTGTGTGTGTGTGTGTGTGTTTGCTCACACGTGCATGTATGTACAGAGGCTAGAGGTTTATGTCAAGTGTCTCTCACAATCACCTCCATCTTAGTTTTTTTGAGGCAGGGTCTCTCACTGAACCTGGAGCGCATCGATTTGGTTAGACTGGCTGGCCCTCCGTCTCCATCTTTCTACACTGGAATTTTGGGGCCCTGCATTGGTTCTGCAGGACGGAACTTACATCTTCTTGCATCTGCAGCCTGACTTTGCTGACTGGGCCATCTCCCCAGTCAGGAGATTCCTTTTTATAAGACCTTTCGGAATAGCAGGAGACCTGGACCATTTTCAATTTATGGCATTGAAAATTAATTCTTTTGGATAATGAGGTGGACACAGGCCCAATCTAGTCAATGGAGTCATACACATAAGTAGGCTAGGTCAAATCACAAAATGGATCAGAAAATAAAAACACTATACTTATGTGTAATAACTTAACTCAAGCTAACACCATTCCTAATGTCCGGTCTGCGATCTTCATTCCCACTTTGCTAACCCCTCCATCACCCATAACCTCTAAGGTGTAAAAATAACGAGCACATGGGGGCAGAGGACTCGGGAATACACTTTCTGAATGAAGCCAAGTCCTCTCTTGGAGACTTCATTTGTGTCCACTCTTGTTAAACAGCCCATTCTCTCTAACTCTTGTGGGCCCAATAGTTACACACCATGGTTTTCAGCCAAGAATGACACATCTGAACAGAGGAATGTGTTCTGTTCCAGCCTGTTCTGATAGACACAGAGACAAATGACATCATCCAGAGCCTCTCACAGCTGCTAAGAACTACAGAGGAGATGGGCTGAACAGGACCTGAGGGATGAGGTGTGGGAGGGAGGGAGCAGGGTGCGGGTTCCCTGTGTGTGTGTGTGTGTGTGTGTGTGTGTGTGTGTGTGTGTATGCACATGCATGTACATACAAAGGAATACTGTTTATGGGGGCATTCGTTCTTTGCTGTGATGGAAGAATGCAATGGTGTTTTAGGGCAGACCTATAAAATGTAGTTTAATGAGAGCGTCAGATACCCACAGTGAGTTTCTCGGCAATGTCTTACCATTCCCTGGACTGTAGCGTGGGGGAGTCATTCTGGGCAATGTGGTAGAGGGCGCTCATGGCGTTCATGTTGAAGAGAGGGGGCTTCCGCTCCGCTGGAAGAGGAAGGAAGCATGGTAAGGCATTCTTGAAAGAAGCAAAATCAGAACTATCGATCAAGGAGACCATCGGCTCTTCGTACTCAGGTCAGCTGAGTTGAGCCATTTGCTAGCTGTTGATGCTGCTTACTCACTGTCCACAGGAAGGCTCCCAGCAGAACTCTTTTCACAGTAATGGGAGAAAATGTCCTTACCTTTTCATAGGTTCTACATAGATTGGTGTTGGCCGGTTTTTCCAGTGACAAGGTGTGAATATGTGTGTGTGTTTTAATTAAAAAATACATATTCATTAAATAAAATCGGAAAGCAAAGAGAAGTAGAACAGAAGCATATTATTATGGGAAAGAGGGGCTGGAGGGACGGCTCAGTGGTTAAGAGCACTGGCTGCTCTTCCAGGCGTCAGCGCCTACATGATGTCTCTCAACCATCCATCAACTCTAGCGCTGGGGAATCCAACGCCTTCTTCTGGGCGTCGCATGTACATGGTGTGGTAAATATGATACAGGCAAAATATTTATACATATAAAATAAATAAGTCTCTTTTAAAAAGAAAAAATACCATTGTGGAGAGGAATAGACATTTACATATGTATTTATTTAAAGCCAGAGTCTTTCTTAGTGCAGAGGCCAGCCTGTGTAAATAGTGAGATCCAGCATAGCCCGGGATACCATAGTGAGACCCAGTGTCCAAAACAGAGAGAGAAATAAATGAAATGCTTAAAAAAGAAAAGACGGTGATGATTTGGAGACATCCTAGTCATTTAAAAAATATTTATCCCTTCGCGGTCTCATAATGCACTTTTGCTGTGGAACAACCCTTTTGCATACTGCAAATATGTATTGCTGTCATTGTTAATAAGAAGCTGATTGGCCAATAGCTGGGCAGGAAGAGACTGGGTGAGCCATCCTGAGACAGAGAGAATGCTGGGATGAAGAAGGGTGGAGCCAAGGGAGACGACAGCCAGCCTCGAGGAAGCAGGATGCGTAGGAAATGAGGTAACAAGTCATAAGCCATGTGACAAAGCTTAGAAAAGAAATATGGGTTAAGGGGCTGGAGAGATGGCGCAGTGGTTATGAGCACTGACTGCTCTTCCAGAGGTCCTGAGTTCAATTCCCACCAACCACAGGGTGGCTCAAACCACCTGTAATGAGATCTGGTGCCCTCTTCTGGCCTGCAGACAGAACACTGTATTCATAATAAGTAAATCTTAAAAAAAAAAAAAAAACTCTTAAAAAAATATGGGTTAATTTAAGTATAAGAGTCAGGTAGCAACAAGCCTGAGCTATGTTGATTATATTATAATTAATATAAGCCTTGGCGTGTTTACTTGGGACCGGGTGGCTGGGACACGCTTCTGCCTACACATTTCGATTACAGTCCTCTGTCTGCAGATGCGTCTGGGATGGTCCTTTAGGGCCCTGCATGGATTTCTTCCCTCCCTTTCCTGCCCCCTCCTTCTCGCTCACCCACCTCTCATCTCTCTCCAGGGTCTCCCACCCTTCTCTTCAGGGTCTCCAGCATAGTCCTAGCTGGTTGGCCTCCCCTGTGGCTGAGATCACTCGAGTACACGACCATGCTGGAGAGGACTAGTTTACATGCATCAAGCACAAACTGGTAGAAACTGGTCCGCGCAGGAGCAGGTACCGACAAAGGTTTCAAGCACAGAGAAAAGACAGGTGGTTTCAGGCTGTTTTTCAGGAAGCGGACTCAAGGAGTTTCTAGAGCACGGTCTTTTGGTGATGTTAAGCTCTTAAAACCACATGGAGCCAGGAACTCCTGTGGATACAGTGGTTTCCCAGGCCACCGAGTAGCCTGCAGACTTCCATCAACCTTCCCTGTTCCCTGTTTCGAGAATAACACAGGGCTCCTTCCCCTCTCTTTCGAGCCATCTCTGGCTTCAGCGAGGCACTCAAGCACAGGCCATTTCACATGGATGCTTTCAGTCTAGATCTTAACCTTATCAGGTTCTTTTAAACAATGTTTTAATTAAGAATTTTTTTTTTAAGTGATGAAGTATTTGCTATGATGCTCAGGCTGGTCTGAAATTCCTGGGCTCAGCGGTCCTCATCTGTCTCCCATGCACGCTGAGAACACGTGCGCTCCTGTCTCAGCTCTGGCTAATTCTTAACAACCCTGTTGTGGCTTGACTATGAAATGCCCCACAGGCTCATGGATGAGTGAAAAATAAGAAATCAAAGGGAAAGGAAAGGACATGGCTGCTCCTAGGTGTGTTAGAAGAGAAACTTTATTGTAGATAAAATGGAGAACACTGGCAGAGACAGGGGCGTCTGGGAGAGTCCAGAGTGGACATGGCCAGAATGACCTGGATCATAGTGGAGAGGGGAAGGGGAGAGGGGGAGGAGAACCAGCTGCGGCAGCCAGGGGGCCCAAAAGGTACAAAGAGAGTCTGGGTTGCACAGGGAAGAGCTCTCAGGGAGAAGACAGTCCAGGCTTTGGGCTGGAGAGCTCAAGGTAGAAGTCTTACACCACCCATACCCTGTAACAGGTAGGGACTGAGGGATGCTGGGAGAACCCCGAGGCCAGGTCCGCTTTCATACTTTAAGTGACATCCTTGAACACTGGGTCCCTCAGCTGGTGGTGGTGTTCTAGAAGGTCGTGGAACTTCCCAGAGGTACACCCACGATGGAGGAAGTGAATCAGTGAAAGAAGGGCTTAGAAATTTTACGGCTCCCCCCCCCCCACCTTCTACTTTCTGTCCTTGGCCACACCTTCCCTGCCGGATGGACTGTTGGACTGTATCTTCTTCAACTGTGAGCAGCAAAACAAACTTTTCTCCCTTACATTGTTTCTAGCCAGGCATTTGGTCCCAGTAGTGAGAAAAGTTACTAGTGTGAACTCATTTTAACTCGTTTCGTTTTTGCAGTAATTTAAAGCATTTTTATTAGGGCTTATGCTATGTGAATGGTTACTTCCTCACCGACTACTCCTTGACTTTTATGGCTTTTGTCACTGCAGACTCTATCTTTTTGTTTTTACTATTACTATTATTACTTTTTTTCTTACTTTACATATTGATCCCAGTTCCCTCACGTACCCATTGCAGACTAACTATATCTTTGTTGCTTCTTTTTTTTTTTTTTTGGCCACACATTACAACTCTCATTGTTTTATGCCCCTTACTAAGTAAACATCATAGAGGTAGTGATGATGTTCATTTTTTTTCCTTTCTCTTTCCAGGGACGAGAACCCGCTAAATAAATTAATAAAGGGCAACTTAATTCCAACAACTGCATCCACAAAGAATCTTTGTGTGGGCTGTTGAGATGGTTCAGCATCCAAGGTGACTGCTGCCAAACCTGAGGACCTGAGTTTGATCCCTGGGTCCAGATGGTGTAAGAAGAAAAATGACTCTGGCAAGCTGCTTTTCCCTCCACCTACGTGCCATGACACTCACATGCTCCTTCTGCACCCTCACAGATAGCTAGATAAATATTTATCTATATTAAAATTATTAAAAATACTAAAAAAGAGTTTTGTGTAACAAACAGGTATAGAAAAATGATGAAAAGAAGCCACGGCCCTGGGGCTTGCATCAGACACCATGTGTTGGGCCCACCCTAAGAGGGATGAGGTAACTCTCATTCCTAGCAAAATGTAAAACAATTCAAGCTGCTCAGAGGAACAGTGACCTGCATAGGAGAAGCTGTGAAAAGGGTACCAGATAACGAACACAGAAGTTTAGGAAGAGGATGTTGGGGCTGGGGAATGTAGGCCAGTTGTTTAGAGTGTTTGCCTACCATGCATGAAGAGGTTCACCCAGGTGTGGGGGAGCATGTTTGTGATCCCTGCACTTGGGAGGTGGATACAGGAGGAGCAGAAGATCAAGGTCATCCTATGTTAAATAGTGATTTCAAGGCCAGCCTGGTCTATATGAGACCCAGTCTCAGAAGAGAGAACTGTCAGCATTAGTGTAGACAGTAGCAAAAGCCAGCATTAGTGTAAACAGCAGCAAAAGCCAGCATTAGTGTAAACAGTAGCAAAAGCCAGCATTAGTGTAAACAGCAGCAAAAGCCAGCATTAGTGTAGACAGTAGCAAAAGCCAGCATTAGTGTAAACAGCAGCAAAAGCCAGCATTAGTGTAAACAGTAGCAAAAGCCAGCATTAGTGTAGACAGTAGCAAAAGCCAGCATTAGTGTAGACAGTAGCAAAAGCCAGCATTAGTGTAGACAGCAGCAACTCAGACTTGAAGCCTAAATGTGGACCCAGGAGGAGCAAGCAATGTGTCTGGGGACAAGCCATGACAGCCAGCCCTCAGCTGGTGGGGAAATTGTTACCATAGAGAAGCCAGAGCCTGGGGCCATCCTCCAAACACTGGATTTGAAAGGTCTGGTCTGTGTATGAATTCTTTACTAGATGAACTGTCCCTGAGCCAGCTGAGCCTGGTACTAAATAAAGCCTCTAATCTCAGCACTGGGACGGCCAAAGCAAGAAGATCACAAGTTCTAGAACAGCCTGGGTCGCACAGTTAAGACTGTCTCCAAGCAAGTGAGCAAGGAAAACCAGCCTCATAGCCACAGTGACAGGGCTTGTCACTGAGCAGAACACCACCGAGCCAAGGCCAGAGTCAGCCCGCAGCCCACTTCTGTGTAATGAGGTATTTTCCACAGGTGTTTTCCTGTTCCAGTGGAGGCATGCACAGCAGGGCCTGCAGAGTCCAGACCATTTATCATCTGGTCCTTCCCGGGGAGTTCATCACCTCACTGGAGGAGCACAGCAGGTGACATATGTCTCTACACAGTGCATGTCGAGGACTGGTGGGACCTGTGACGAGGATCTATGAGTCCTTATTGGTATTTTTTTTTTCATGCATGGATCTCTTTGTGTGTATGGTGTTCACATGTGTGTACTTGCATGTGTGTCTGCATGTGTATGGCATATGTGGGTTTTCATGTGTGGTGTGCATCTGAGTAGATGTGTGTGTACTTGCATATGCATGGGTTTACATGTGTGTGCATGGATCTCACTTGACCGGGCCTCTCACTTGAACCCAGAGCTTGCTGATTCAGCTAGTCTAGCCAGCCGGGTTGCTCCAGAGGTCACTGGCTGCCTCCTCCTGAGCTCTGGGATTACAACTGGGTAGCCCATCTGAACCTGGCATTTATGCAGTACAGGAAGCATTTTATCTATCAAACCGACTTTTGCCAGCCCAGAATCCATATTTTCTTAAATGAGAGGAAAGGACAAAAGACTAGAAAAGCTAATCTTGCTGAAGGATATATGTGTGTGTGTGTTTCCTGTTTAACTGAAAGACAATGGTTACATTTTTGTGGATGCACCATCTGTGTCAACCAAGGTTAGGATTTAGGGAGATCAGTTTAGTGGGGTCACTGCTAAGAGCTCTACCTGGATGTGCTAAATTAGGACCAGTGGGTTGTACTCCATCTGAGAAAGAGAGGTGATCCAAAGGCACCCCACCCCCTCTTGGATAAGTGCTTTTTGAAAATTAATGTTTTCTTGTGGACAAATATGGTTGGCAGCTTTAGCAGGGCTGCAAGGGAACACTAACTGCTATGAGTTGCTTTATGTCGGGTACTCACAGCATGGCACGCATGCCGCTCATCATGTGAACCAGAGCCTGGCAGCTAAGTGTACCCTCTAGTCTCCTAAGGGAAGAAGCTGAGGTGCAGTTAGGCTCAGTACTGAAATGGGTGACATAGTGGCGGTTACCCCAGACCTCAGGAACCTTCCAACTCCTGGGTCATGTGCATACCACCATGCTTGATGTGCGTGAGTGTGTGTCTAGGCATACAAATAAATGACAGGTGAGTGCAGGTGCCTGCGGAGGCCAGGAGAGGCCAGGGGATTCCCTGGAGCTGGAGTTACAGATGATTGTGAGCTGCTCAAAGTGGGCACTGGGAACAGAATTCAGGACCTCTGAAGGTAGTAAGTGGCCTTACCCCTCCCTGAGCTCTCTCTCCAATCCCCTGACTTAAAATTTTTGATTTATGAACTACGTGGATATGTGACCTCATTGAAAAAAAAAATAAGTAAACACTCTAATCTTCCCCCTTGAATCACTTTTCTTTCCACTAGAAAGGGACAGACAGACCACGCATCTAAGCTCTTCTGTTGGAAGAGGTGAATAAAACACTAGGAACAATGTGAGTGTCTCAGTTCTTCTCTACAGGGCAAACTTTTCAGAAATTCTGATGGCGCCAATGCAGAGACCAGGAAAGAAGAATTTAAATTAAAGGAGATATACATCTTAAAAACCAGACAAAGACTTCTCAGAAGTTGTTCGAAATTTCTAGAGAAAGCAGATTAAACCTGGGTCAACTTGCCCTGGCTTAGGAAGGCTAACAGGGCCCATATCTAGGGAACAACAATGGCAGTTTACACTATGGAGACACAGGAAGGTTACCCTGGGTCCTTCCCTCCAGTTACAGCTTGGTTTGTTAAGTTTATTGGCATGCTGTGGGATAGATGTCATCTAAAGACAAGCCAAGGTTCAAATATGCAACCAGGAAAACCAATGGCATTTTAGATAGCTTTAGGTTATAAATATTTGGGGGACAGCTTTAAAGATTTGAGTGGACTCGGGTCCTCTGAAGAATAGTGAGTGCTCTTGGCCACTGAGCATCTCCCCAGTCCCTGGGGGACAACTGTCACACTGATGCATCTCTTACTATGATGTTTCCTTTAAGGTTCCACTGCCAGGTCAGAGAACAATGTTAAGGACATGTATTTTCCCTGTATGGCTGGGAATGTGAACTAAAGCAATGGGGGTTATTGTAAAGACAGGGCTTGTGGGCGCTGGAGAGATGGCTCAGAGGTTAAGAGCACTCACTGGCTTCTCTTCCAGAGGTCCTGAGTTCCATTCCCAGCAACCACATAGTGGCTCACAACCATCTGTAATGAGATCTGGTGCCCTATTCTGTCATAAAGTCAATAGGGTACTCATATATATTAAATAAATAAATCTTAAAAAGAAAAAAAGACAGGATATGCAGCGTCACACAAAGTCGGGGTATTTCTCAAGTACGAGCACATACTGGCTTGTATTTCATGGAGACACAGCAGAGAAGGAACAATCTTCTGTGGTATGTAAGAGCGTGGGAAAAACCTACAACAGATTCACATTGCCTGGCCTTGTACAGCTGTCAGTCAGTGATGAGCATAGTGGGGACCAGTTCACAAAGATCCAATGAAAATTACTCTTCACTCACCCAGTTCTATACAGGTGATGCCGAGCGACCAGATGTCAACTTTCCCATCATACTTCCCTTCATCCATGGCTAAGATCACCTCTGGGGCCATCCTGCCAAACACAATGCGCAGAACTCAAGTTGTCAGTACAAACAAAATTTCCATTATAAAACTTCTTGGGACAGTAGATTTAAGAATATTCAAAAGTATTTTTAAGGGCACTTAAAAGTTTTTTTTTTTTTTTTTTTTCCTTTTGTTTTCTAGGAACCAAACCTCGGTTCTTTGCTAGGAACCAAACCTTGGTCCTTTGCAAGAAAAGCAAGTGCTTTTAATTGCTGTGACATTTCTCCAGCTCCTGCTTAAAATTTTCAGTGTCTGTTGTGGTGTTATTTGTAGCAGCCATGGAATGAAACCAGCCTAGGTAATCAATAGATGCGTAGGTAAGGGAAACGTGGTTCAGGTACACGATGGAGGCATCCATGATGTGTTGGTTTGAATGGGAATGGTCCCTGTAGGCTCCTATCCTTGAATACTTGGTCCCTGGCTGGTGGAACTATTTGGGAAGGGTTAGAAGGTGTGGCCTTGTTGGAGAAGGTGTGCCAATGGTAGATAAGCTTTGAGGTTTCAATGTCCTCCTGGATTCCTAGTGTCTTTCTCTCTCTGACTCATGGTTATGCCTTAAGATGTGAGCTCTCAGCTGTCCCCGCTGCCATGCTCCCTGCCCCGACACTCACAGGCTCTAACCCTTGGAAATTAAAAAAAAAAAAAAAAAAAAAAAAAAAAAGTCGCTTTGGTCATAGTGTTTTATCACAGCAATAGCAAAGTAACTAAGATATGGGGTAGGGCTGAGGATCATCATGTAGTGATATTTTGTTCGTAATCTAGCCATAGGGGACAGGCAGTGAGTGGCAGCCACACTTTTAATGGCAGCACTCGGGAGACAGAGGCAGTCAGAGCTCTGTGAGTTCAAGCCCCCCCTTGAACAGCAAGGCTACATGAGCGGGAATCGATCTGAAAGAGAAACAGAGCTCACACCTTTGACCCCAGCACTTGAGAAGACACCCTTTAATCCCAGCTCTAGGGAGGAATACGAGGCAGGAGCTCAGTGCAGTCTGAGTGCAGTCTGAGGTTTGGTGGAGAGCATTACAGTCTGCAGTCACTCTGAGGACAGGGTCGCCCCTCTTTGGTCTGATCCTTGGTAGAACTCTCTAGTGGCTTGGCTGCTTTGCTTTTCTGATCTTCAGTTTGAACCCCAATATCTGTCTGTGAGTTTTTATTGAGACCGATTAGAATCTGTGCCACATATCACGTTAAGTGAAATAAGCCAGACTTAGAAAGGTAAATGAAGGGGAGAAGGAAGGAGGGAGGGGAGGAGGGAAGAAAGTAGGGAGGGTACTATGGGAGCCGGAGCCGGCAGGTTAGCAGTACGGAAGACATGCAGATGAATCTGAACAAAGTACAAAATGTGGCAGATTTGAGAAAATATGATACAACCTATTATTTTGTACAGCAGCTAAAGAATTAATTTTAAAAATTGAAGATTTTGTTTTCCTGATAGAGATTTTCCTTTACACAAACCACCCAGAACTCTGTTCAAAACACAAATGTCACTGGTGATTTCTAGAAACTACTACACGAGTTTTCAACACATCCCGTCTCTACTTTTTGCTCTCAGTTTGCTCTCTCAACTACGGTTTGTTTCTTCCTCTAAAAAAATGGAGAGACCTGTCAGAGGGACATCATGGAGATGTGTAAAGGACATCACGCGTGCTCATGTGAGCAGAGACAAATGAATTACTCTAAAAAGACACGAAAACCTCTGGAGGGACGGCGTAAAGGAACGTGACCCTCTGTTCCAAAGACACTGCAATTTATAGAACAAACGGGTTCTGGTAAAGTTGGGCATCGTGTGTGACCCCTAGAAGGGACAGCCCCTTTGCCTTCAGCTGGCTTTGGATCGTGTTAGGATCTATTCCGCATTGGCGGTGGCTTTGTAAATACTATCTCATGATGAGCGGGGGAAATCAGACAGCAGTCACTCTTCACAGGCTTTTCAAAGCAACAATAACATGATGGGGCATCGGTGGATGTTTGGAAAGGGGATCTGGGACAGCATGCGGGGGACGACTCCAAGTCAGAATGACGTCACAGTGGATTAAATATCAGAGGGCTCAACAGAGTTGGGAGCTTGGATTTCTTCCACCGTGGCTTGGTGGCCAGCCAGAGAGCTGTAAAGAAGATCCCTTGTCCTGAACACGATGCCTCAAGGGAGCAGTTCAAAAGAGATTTCAAGCGAAACCTTAGATGGAGCTAGCCCAGCAAATCGATAACACACAAAGGAGACCCGAAGCCAGCTGCCTCATTTGGGCATTTAAGGTCACTCTTTCTGGCAGGCGAGGTTTCTAACCTTTTCAAATGAAATCTGATTGGGGCACACTGGGAACACAGTTTCTTTCTTTCTTTTTTCTTTTAAATAGAGTCTCTCTCTCTCTCTCTCTCTCTCTCTCTCTCTCTCTCTCTCTCTCTAACCCTGACTGAACTCACAGCGGCCTGCCTTTGCCTCTTAAGTGCTGGGATTAAAGGTGCGCAACCACTATTCCTGGCTGGTAACACACCGTCGGGACAGAGCAAGGAAGGCTAGGCTTGGCTGTGCAGTCTAAGGTAGCCTGAGGCAGGAGGATTGCATATACAACGTCAGCCTGGGATAGAGAGTGCATTGTGGCCAATCTGAACAAACTAGCGGATTGTGTTTCCAAATAAAGGAATGAAGTTCAGGGGTTGAACACTTGCCCAGCAGTCTCCAGCTCCTGGGTTCCATCCCTATCACCGCAGAAACAACAGCAGCGATGCCAAGTCTCCCTCTGCTCACATTTGTGCATTCTAAGCCTACATCATATCTTCTATGTCTACGCACCAGTATGGTGTCCCCACGAAGGAGTTGGCAGGACAGGCTATGGAGGCGGATCCAAAGTCAGCCAGCTTCACCTGTCCTGGTTCTGTGAGGAGGATATTCCCAGCTTTAATGTCCCTGCAGGAGAAAAAGAGGAGGATCTGAGACTTAACCCCTCAACTCTTACAATGCAGGAGGCCAGAGCATGCAATTAAACACACACACAAGCATACTTTTCCCGGCTGTCACTGCGTGTTGTAAGGGAGCCCGCATTCCTGGGTGGTCACTGGAAGGACTTCCAGGAGGAGCTGTCTTCAGACGGGGTGTGGAGCGAGGGAAAGAGGCAGCCATGCCAGTCAAGGGTGGGGGCTCTGAGGTGGCAACTCTCACAAGGGTTTTATCCAACCACCACCACCATTCCTTGTGCCGGGAGAATCGAAGCCGTTTGTAACGGCCTGCTTTCCCCCTTCCGAACTGTCTGACATGCCTGGGCTGCTGCCCTGAGCAGGGCTCTTTGGCTGGTCACGTACCTGTTCTGTCTTGCCCGTGACCCTTTCTCTCTCCCTTTAATTGTAAATGCCACTATAAGAAGGCATGGGAGGGTACGGGTTATAGAAAAGGTGTTATTTAAGGAATAACACTGTACAGTAAAAAGAAGACCCTGAAAGATCAAAACAGACAAGGATTAGGGGTTAGGAGCTTGCATTTCAGTCTCGCGATGACGGGCTGTGGCTGGCTCGCTGCTAAAGATGTTTGATATTTGATGCGCAGTGAAATGTTGGGGGGAAAATACCATTATGAAAATTCACAATGAGAGGGTGATGCGGATGTGCCCTCCCTTGTTTTTCTTAAGAAATGAATGGCGGATAATGAGGGCTGGGAAGCACAAACTGCGAGTTGATGACGGGCGGTGGAAAGGGACAGCTGAGAAGTGGAGAGACGGTGACAGGCTTAACAGCTTCCAAAGCTTCCCTTGAAACGGCAGTCCCCCTCCCCGAGGTGACACCGTGCAGGAGAACTGGAAACAAAGATGCCGTTCGGTCTCTTGCAACAGGGGGGCTTGGGGAGGAAACACCCCTCACCGCACCGCAACACACAGATGAGGTGAGTGGTATTCGTGTTTTGTTTGAAGACCATATAGCCCCGGCTGGTCTTGAACTCTTTATGTAGCTGAGGTTGGCCTTGAACTTCTAATCCTCTGCCTCTACTTCACAAGTCCTGAGAGTATATACATATGCCCCTGTACTTGGCTATGGTACTCTTAAAAAAATTGTTTTGTTTGAAAAAAAATTTTTTTTGAGACAGGTTTTCTCTTTGTCCTGGAGCTTGCTCTGTTGACGAGGCTGGCCTTGAACTCACAGGGATCCTCCTGCCTCTGCCTCCTGAGTGCTGGGATTAAAGGTGTGTGCCACCATGCTTATCTTTCATTTTGAAATTTAAAGGACATTAAGGAAATTTTCTTTGTCTTCTCAGTTTTTTCTCACAAGTATCATGCTGATTAAGAAGGACACACACAAAATTAAACGGTGGCTGCAGATACAACACAGAAAACTTGCAAGCGAGTCACCATCAGCAATCATACCTTGATTCCTAGGAAACGGGAATCAAAAATCTACAACATCCATTGATTACATGATAAGTGGGTTTAGTCATTATCTACCAGGTATTTATGTTTTGTGGTGCTGGGGATGGACTGGGTGGCCTTGTGTGGGGTATGCAAATGCTCTAGTACCAATGCACACACATCCCAGTCCAGTTTAGCCCTTCTGAAAGAAAGATCTATTTGTGTATGAGCATTTTGCCTTTATACATGTTGCGATGCCCACAGTGTCAGAAGAGGGTGTCAGAACTCCTGGAACTGGAGTTCCAGGCAGCTGTGAGCCTCCATGTATGTGCCTGCCGGGAATGACACAGGACTCAGGGACCAGAAGAACGGGAGAAGAGGCCATGGCTCAGCTCAGCTGCTATTCTGTGCAGGGAACTCAGTCAGTTTCGGTTCCTGACCCAAAGTGGAAAAGCAGATGGGCCCTCCTTCAGATTTCCCTGTGCCATCAAAGGAGGCCAGCTACCTACACACGAAGCCAGGTACGGGGCAGTGCACACCACAAATGTCAGCCCTATGGAGTTCAAGATCCGCCTGGGGTACATTGTGAGTTCGGGGCCAGCCTGGGCTACATGGTAAGACCCTGTTTCAGAAAAGGAAAAAAACCAAAAATCTAAACTAAAAATAACAATTACGTACAACCCATAAACAACAACTAAACAGCCCCCTCCCCACCCCACCCCACCCCCGCCCCAAACATTAGAAGGATGCAGTCTTCCTGGAGCTGTGGGAGGGGCCTGGAGCTGTCCCTGTCTGTCGTTTCCTGCAATCCCTCAGGTGCAGAAAACTGGACCACACACAGGTTCCCATGGTCTACGGAGTGGGACGGGAACCGGAAAGGAAGCTGGGATCTGGACTTACCTATGGATCAGGGAGTGAGAGTGGAGGTAGGCCAGCCCCTCCAAGGCACCGTGAGTGATAGCAGCAATTTCCACTTCCTGAAGTGGTTTCTTATGAACTGAGGAGGAAGGACAGATGGTCAGGACAGATGGCCAGCCTTCCACATCACACAGATAACACACACTCCAGCAAAGGACACCTTGAGAGCATATCCCCCTGAACCCACGGAAGCCGTGCCTTCCATAATGCAGCAGTAGATGAGGAAAGCCAGGCACATAAACGTGAGACTAACCAAGTGAAATCACAGGCTGTGGCACTGATTTACTGCTCAATGGCGAGTCAAAGTAGACAGTGACCTGGGCCATGCTGGTCTCTGCTGCAAAGCCTCCATAATTACCCACCTTGACCCACAGGTAAAGAGGCTGGGAAGCAGCTTCTGCTGAGAGACCATGGGTGGCTTCAGACATTTTTAAATGGAATTTTAAACAGAGCTGCAGGTCGTAGTAGCACTGGACAGAGGAGACTGGGTCTGTGCACATGCGTGCACGCACATCCACACAAACACACACACACACAGTCTCACATACATGTCCATTGTGACACTGGCAAAGGGTAGACAGCAACACTTACATAGGGCTTTGATGGTTTTCGGCTATGGGTACCACACCATATTAACCAAACATTTCTGCAATGCCTGCCCTAGATGGCCATGGCCTCAATAGTAGGAAGACTGCTGATGTTACAGATATGTCAACTACATGGTAGAGATTATATGTGCAGAGTTTACCCACATGACCCTGAACTGCCTTTTGACCAGAGGCCCAAAATGTACTTTGTCTATTTTTCTAAAAGAAGATAAAATACTTTAAAAAAAAAAAAAAAAAAAAGATATATTAGAGAGAGAGACAGGGGGAGAGAGAGGGATAGAGAGAGTCTATGCGCACATGAATACAGGTGCCTGTGGAGGCCAAAAGAAGGCGTCAGGTCCCCAGAGCTGGAATTACAGGCAGTTGTGAGCCACCTGGGAGCCAAACTTGGGTTCTTCCCAAGAGCAGAGTGTTCTTATGGCTGAGCGGCCTCTTCAGGCCCACAGAGAACGTGATGGAGGGAAATAGGAGAGCCATAGTGATGTCATCCTTACCTTCTAACAAGTCAGAGGCTGAACCTAGGCAGTATTCCATCACCAACTGGAACAGATTAAAAGATCGGAATAATAAAAGTTAATAAGAAGCTCCTTAAGTTAACCAACCACCCAACCAGCAAGCCAACTGAACAACAAATCAACCAACGACAAAGCCAACCAACAAGCAATCAAACAACCACAAAACCAGACAACTGATCACACAACTAACTAAATACCCAAACAAATAATAAACCAAACACACAACCAACCAAAAACCATCCAACCAACCAATCAACTAACCAACAAACTAACCACATTACTATACAACAAACCATACAACTAACCAAGTACTCCAACAACCAACCAACCAATTAATCAACCACCTACAAAACCAACCAGCCAACTAACCAACCAACTAACCAAGTACCCAGACAACCAACTGAATAACCAATCAACCAACCACACAACCATTCAACTGAAGCACTAAGAGCCTGTTTTATCTGGTCCCTGGATAATGAATTGATTTTCATAATTTTCCACATTTCAGTTCTTGTCCTCTGACCATATGAGGGTTAATTAATATAGAAATATTCATTGTAGATAGTCAAGTTGAGATCGCCAATTCCAACCTAATACCTTCTTCCCACAGTCTTGTTTTGTAATAGATTTTGAATGGCTAGATATTATTGCTTATTATTTATTGTAAGATAAAATTTGTTAGAAAATGTTGAGGAATACACAAACCAGAAAAATCTGTGTTCTAGACAGTGAAGCACTCTTGCTCAGGCAGGAAGCAAGGGTTCCAGATGGCTGAATACAGTTGTTCAAATAGGAAGCAGGGGTTCTAGACGGCTGAAAGACTCTTAAGGGGATGGAGAGATGATGGTTCAGACGCTAAAACTTCCCTTGCAAGCATGAGGATCAGAGCTCAGTCTCCATGTAAAAGCAGGGTACAGAGTTGTATGCCTGTAATCCCAGTGCTGGGGAGGTGGACACAGAGGTTCCCTGGGGTTCATTAGCTAGCCAGTCTCGTCAAATGGACAAATCCCAGGTTCGGTGAGAGACACTGTCTCAACAAATATGGTGGAGAGCAACTGAGGAATACACTTGACTCTCAACCTGTGGCATTTACATGCTCACACATACACACATAGAAAAATGTATGTGCACACATGCACGCACACCCATGCACACAACAAATGAACTCCTCGAGCAGAAATGCTTGTTCACAATGTCTGGGAACAGAATGCCCATTTCCTGTAGGCCAGAGGGTCCAGAAAGGCATTCTTGGCTCATCACGAACAACCCATCATAGACAGGTAAATTGAACTTTATGTTAAAATGTCCAGTATGATTGACTGCAAAGTTCAACACCTTCACATTCTAAACAGCGTGTGATATGCCAGCCTCTAACAGTGACCATCACATAAAACAAAAACAAGCCATGTGGAAAAAAGGCTACCCCACCCCAGAGACACAGTGGTGGTGTCATTTTGTGAACATTGTACAGTGACAGCATCCGGTAAAGTGCCAACATTTTGGCCAGATGGAATGGGGAGGAAGGTGGACGTGGCAAAGATACAAATTCTAGAATGTGGGCTGGAGAGACAAGACGGCTCAGCAGTTCAGAGCACTGGCTGCCCTTGTAGAGGACTTGGGTTCAATTCCCAGCAACCCATGGCGGTTCACAACTGTCTATAACTACAGATCCAGGGGATCTGAAGCCCTCTTGACCTCTGTGGGTACTGCACACATGGTGCACACATATATGCAGGCAAAACATTCTTATATACAAAATCAAAATAAATAAATCTTAAACCATCCTAGGATGAAGGCTGGCTAGACGCCTCAATGGGTAAAGGCACTTGTCTATGACTTGACTCTAATCCCTGGAACACATTTTGTGGAAGGGAGACATGGTCTCCACGAGTCATCCTCTGACTTCCACATGTGCACGTGGCAAACACGCACATGCACACACAAGACGACGAATGTGACAAAAGTCTTTAAAAACTCTAGGAGACTAAAAGGATTTACCTTTTGGTTTTACAAGATGACGTTAACTTTTTACCATCCCTTTGCTAAATGTCTTCAGAATGATGCTTCCGATAGGCTAGACTGGCATATTTAATCTCATGGAATACAGACCAAATGACAAATGGCGAGCACTGACAAGTCAATTACAAAAGTCAAACGGGACAGAAACAGGACTCATAATTTTGTAGTGCAAATAAATAACTAAAAAAGTGAACGGAAACAAAGAGAACAGAGACTGTGACTTACCCAAGCAGTGTGCTCTTTTAAATAGCAACCTTTGTATTCGATGGTGTTGGGGTGCTTCAGCTGCTGTAAGAATTTAACTTCCTTAAGAATGTCTTGCCATTTCTGTGGAAATCGGAAAAGGTGTTTTAATAATCAAACTGAAAACAGTATTTATCGAGTGTTTATATATTTCTTCTTCTTCTGTGTTAGATGGATATAAGGTAAATATTTAATAAATGAACCAGCTAGTTACCTTGTGCTGTTGTTTTAATATAGCATGAGGCCCAAGTCTCTCATCAAATATATCAAAATCAAACCACTACTCACATCCATGTTCTACACTGGAAGGCTGTTGCTTAGATGCAGTATTACAAAGCTCTGCAGGGGCTCCACCAGAGACAACCTATGGCCAGCAGTTTTCTGGGCTCTGCCTACGAAGCTTCTGAAGCCAGCCTACTCACTGAGTAACTCAGAGAAACCCAATTCCCTTCTTATCTTTCTGAGTCTTTCTTTCCCTTTCCTTCCCTTCCCTTCCCTCCCTCCCTCCTTCTTTCTTTTTATTTAAATTTGAAACAAGGTTTTTTACTTGTCAATCCCTCCTTTCCTTTTCTTTAGACAGGGTTCCTCTGTGTAGCCCTGGCTGTCCTGGAACTCTCTCTGTAGAGCAGGCTGGCCTCGAACTCAGAGATCCACCTGCCTCTGCCTCCCGAGTGCTGGGATTAAAGGTGTGCACCACCACCACCACCACCACCTGGCCTGTGTCCTTCCCTAACACTTTGAGCCTCCTTGCTGTTTCTCTAGAACCATGGTTCCCAGTCTTCCTAATGTTTTGATCCTTTAATACAGTTCCTCCTGTTGTGATGACCTCCAAACATGAAATTATTTTTTGTTGTTACTTTATAATTCCCTCCCTGTCTGCCATGCGCTGTGCCAGTTTAGACGGCATGGCTTTTTTTCTGGTCTCTATTCTCTCTCACTTAGGGGCAGCTACTGAGGTTTATAGTTTACAACCTTCCTAGGGAGGGTTTCTTTTAAACTCTTATAAAATTGTCCTTGATAAAGAGCTAATTCCAGGACAGCCTCCAAAGCCACAGAGAAACCTTGTCTTGAAAAATAGAAAAAAAAAAAAAAAAAAAAAAAAAAACAACCAACGAAACAAAAAATTGTCCTTGATTTTAAAAGAAAAAACAAAGAACAACATTGTGATAAACACCTAAATAACTTCTATGGATCATATTTTTTGAAAGCTTTCTTCTCTGTTTAATGAATACATATGAATCATATGTGTTTATGGGGTAATGGGGTACTCTACAGGTCTCCATACCATAATTATCCTGAGAGGGTATGTGGCAGGTCTGTCACCTCAGACATGTCTCTGTGGGGAGAACAGTGGACTCATCCCTTCTAACGGCTTTTGAAATACCATGGCAACCCCTGGGTAGCTGTCCTTCCTCTGTGTGGGATGCCAGAGCTCGGGACTTGGCTAACCTCACCCTAATCTGACACATCTGCTCAGGCATGGGGCTGTCTTACCTCGTGGGTCTGCTTCCCACTGTAGGACATTTTCTTAACTGCAACCACCTCATTGGTGTGAGAATTTGTTGCCTGCGATAAGAGAGAGGAAGAAAAATAAAAAGAGTTATGACATCCAGTCACCTTAACCGAAGCACTGTACTAGAGCCTTGTAGCATCTGTCCACACCTCAGCAACACAGTTCTTAAAGGTGCTCTCTCTTACTGATGGGTTAGAGGGCCACTCCACCCTGACTTCATGGGAATGGCTTCCCAAGTACCTTGCTGTAATAACATGTGTGAGAGTTATAATACGATGTAAACAAACAAACAAACAAACAAACAAACCAAAAACCATGGTCAAATGAAAGAAATGCAACGATTCAGGAGGTGGTGGCACACGCCTTTAGTCCCAGCACTCAGGAGGCAGAGGCAGGGGGATCTCTGTGAGATCAAGGCTAGCCCGATCTACAGAGTGAGTTCCAGGACAGCCAGGACTGTTACACAGAGAAATCCTGTCTTGAAAAACAAACAAACAAAAAACAAAATAATGAAGGAATGCATAATGTTCCTATTTTATTTTTAAAATTTTTAGTAGATTTATTTCTATTTCTATGTATATGTATGTACCCACTTGAGTTTATGTACATCATGTGTATGCAGGTTCCCATGGAAGCCAGAAGAGGGTTTGGATACATGGATTCTGGAGTTACAGTGATCCCCAGCCACCGGACACAGTTGCTAGGAACCGAACTTGGGTCCCCTACAAGAGCAATACTGGCTATAACAACTGAGCCCAGAACGTTTCCATTTAAAGAACCTGAAAACTAGGCAAAACAAAGTTACCTCACCTGGGGGTGTCAATGTTACATAGAAAGAAAAGCAAGAGTATAAGCACTGTGAAATATGGACAGTGGACATTACTCGGGGGAGCAGGGGGTGGGTGCCCTGAGGCGGGAAGGGCATATGGCGGGCTTCTGGGAAATGGCAATATTCTTCTTGTCCTGATAATTTCCCATAGATTGCCCTTTAATTACTGCTTAAAATATACATTCTTAGGGGTAGGTACTTGCTTTTGTTTTTCTGTTTGTGTTGAGCTTTGAGCCTTGGTGCAGGCTAGACAAGTGTTCTACCTCTGAGTTACACCCAGGCCAAGTGTGTGTGTGTGTGTGTGTGTGTGTGTGTGTGTGTGTACTTCTTTATATATGATATATTTAAATTAAAAACACTTTAAAGGGGCTGGAGAGATGGCTCAGTGGTTAAGAACACTGGCTATTCTTCCAGAGGTCCTGAGTTCAATTCCCAGCAACCACATGTTGGCTCACAACCGTCTATAACGGGATCTGATACCCTCTTCTGGCATGCAGGCATACATGCAGACAGATCATTCATACCTAAAAAAGATACATAAATAAATAAAAATTTAAAAAGTACTTTCAAAAGGGCATCTTTGTGAAAAAGGAAACAGTACTTGGGTATTTAATGTCATAGTAAAAATATAAGACGAAACATGGGATCAGTACATAGAAATTGGTTCCCCTTGCAGCCACAGTGATGATAGCGAGATGGGTATGGGATGTGGATGAAGGAGGGGGGATGAAGGCGGCAGCATTGATGTCAAGGGCTGCAGTGCAGTGAGGGTTCTGAGGAGACCCACGGTGGAGCTAGCCCCAAGAGGACAAGCTGGAGGTGGGAACCCTCACTGGGCAGGAACTGGAGGGGAGCTGTGCCCGGATGGTCGAGGCTGACAGGCACTTAAGAAGAGTGACAGACGCAAGATTAGAGAAGGAGTTGTCAGTTCGTTCTCTTCCTATTGTTTCACTAGGCTAGTACTCTTCAAGGCACATGGTTACTCTGAGGAAGCAGACTCCCACTGTTTCAGGTGCAAGAATTATGTCTCACATGACCAGCTCCAGGTGAACGGGCTGTGTTCCCATCACAGCCGTCCCTTACTTTCTTATAAAAATATACAGGCTGGAGGATTTGGAATGAGGGACAGTCTTGTACCATTTATCAGAAAATAGTGACTTTCTGTGATTGTCAATACACGTTTTTATACATCTCTCTAAATAGCGATTTATCTATCTACTCACCTAACCATCCAATTGCCTAGCCAGCCATCTATCTGTCTATCCATCCATCCATCCACCCATCCACCCATCCATCTATCCATCAGCCCATCCATCCATTCTCCTATGTTTATTTAATTCCTACCATTAGCAGACATTATACTAGTTCCTAGGAACACTGTAATGAATGAGATGGACATACCCCTGTTATCATGGTGCGTATTATTTAGGGAAAAGGACATAAATGGCTAGTCACTGTGCTAGCATGTTTCTAAATATAAACACTGGCTGTTTAAGAGGTAGAAAGTTGAACAGTAAAGACTGTCTTGTGGAGGTAACACTTAGGCTGAAACCTGCCAGACTGGAAGGGCTGGTTGGGATGCGGGTTTGGAGGCTTTGGGGTAGAGGGGTGGAGAATAGAGGCTGAAGGTACTCAGCATCTCCAGGAAATACACAGGGAGTGACTTTAAGCTTATCTCCAGGAAACACACAGGGAGTGACTTTAAGCTTATCACTACCTTAACCACCACTGGAATAGAGCCTAGAGCTTCGGAACTGCCTTCAGCAATGACCATGCATCTCTGCACGGAACGCAAGTGTGCTCTTCGGCAGAAGGCAGGATTTCTTTCTGGGCCTACGCTGTGCCATCAACCAATTACTTACAAAGTACACGGCTCCGAAGCTCCCATGTCCGATTTCATGCAAATCGATAAAAAGCTCTTCTGGGTCATCCTTGTAGAAGAGGTCAGCAATCTCTGGGTCCTTCAGCACTCCTTTACGCATGGTGGCCAGAGTGGCAAGTGCGCTGCTTTTTGGTGGCCCAGTCCTTTTGTCTGTCTCATTGACTACTGTTTTTGTGCTCGTAAACCTTCAGTCCCTGTAGAGAAAGGAGATCTGCCATTCAGTTCTTTCTAACACACTGTTTTGATGATAATATGAACATACATTAACATTAAAAAAGTAATTATCTGGGGCTGCAAAACGGATCAGCAGGTAAAGGTGCTTGCCACCAAGGCTGATGGCCTGAGTTCCATCCCCAGAACCCACAGGTAGAAGGAGAGAATGGATTCCTGCAAGTCTCCTACCTCCTCATGTACGCTGAGGCGTGTACACAACAGGTAGAATAAAATGTAACACATTTAAAAGTATCTTCATCTTACAACTCAACAGAAAAAAAAAAAAAAAAAGACAGACTATGTCACAACACTTGATGTCATCATCAGAAACAAAACTCAAACCCACAGCCAAACCATTTTGTGCTCACTAAGACAGCTACACAGCTATAAAAACAGACAAGTACTGGGAACTGGGGTAGGCAGGGATGGGGCTCTCTGTCCCAGCAGGCAGGAATGTGGAATGGCACAGACATCTTGGGAACAAGAGTTCATAAAACAAAACAAAGCCAACCAATCAACCAACCGACCAAACAAACCTAGGATCTGAAGTTAGCATTTGCCTCAGGAATTCCACTCCTTGGAGCCAAAGGGCTGGCCCAGGGGCTCAGAGCATAAGCTGCTCTTCCAGAGGACCCGCATTCCAATGCCAGCACCCAGGGGGCTTAGAACCACCTGTAGTTCCGGCTCCAGGGGTTCCTATATCCATCTGGCTTTTTCAAGCTCACACACACACACACACACACACACACACACACACACACACAACTGAAAATAAAAAGAATAACATGGTTAGGTGCATCCCCAAGAGAAAGGAAAGGACATTCATACAAACACAAACAAACAAAAAACCGAACACCTCACACAAGTTTCAGAATGACATTATTCCTAATCACTAAAAAGTAGAAATAATCCAGTGGCCAGTAATTAAGGGGTGAATAAATAAATGTAGCAACCTCTATGATGTAATGTCAGCCCTAAAGGGGAAGAAAGGGTTGGCTATGGTGGAGTATGTCTGTAACCCCAGCACTTGGGAAGTGGACACAGGTGAACAGTGAGGTCAATCACCCTTGGTTTAATAGTGAGTTTGATGGCAGCGTGGGCTTCATGAGATTCTGCCTCAAAAAGAAAAAGAAAAGGACTAAAGTAACGGTCTATGCTCTGACGTGGTTGGATCTTGCAAGTGGTATATTAAGTGAACAAAGCCAGCCACAAGAGACTACATCTGCATGATATCACCTACAAAAGATTCCCCGAACAGGTAGATACACAGACTACCGGCCACTCAGAAGGTGCGGTCGGGACAAACCACGGGGCAGTTGGCCCACCAGGCTGCTGAAAATGTCATAGGTTGACTGGTATGATGGGCGGAACCAGTGGCTCTCAGAACTGGTGTCCAGTTCTGGATGGGACAGGAAGGTCCAGGACTGGAATGTGCTGTGGAATAATCTGTCTGTACACCGTGAAAACACGTTGCTCTCATTGCTAATAAAAAGCCGATTGGCCAATAGCTAGGCAGGATTTTCAGGGCAGAGAGAATGCTGGCAAAAAGAAGGGCGGAGTCTGCAGAGTGGAGAGACAGATACGGAAGGAGCAACACGGAACATCCATAGATGAGGCAAATGGACCTCCAGGCAGCATGTAGATTAATGGAAATGGATTGCTTAATCTAAGTTGTAAGAGCTGGCTGGAGACAAGCCTAAGCAGGCTATCAGCCAAGCACTTATATTAATAACAACCAGGCTCAGTGTGGTTATTTGGGAATGGGCTGGCAGGACAGAACAGTTCAGCTACAGGCACATGATGTTTTTGTGCAGCAAGGGGTTCAGGTGACCCCACAGTTCTTTATTAACCATGGACAGAAACTGCTATAAATTGGAGACGGTGCCCACGCCCACTCTGAGAGGCTTCTGGAAGCTCCCATGAGCAGCAGGATGCCATCTGACTTGTCTGTGTGTACCAACGAACGAACACGAATTCATTCTGTGTCAATTCTACGCTTTTCCTTGATATCTGAAAAATACTGGGATGTTACTTTTCCTGTTTTTATTCTAAAAAAAGCTTTCCTACACACAAAAATAACCACTTATTTCTGCTTGAAGTAATTATAGTATAGACTATAAATTGATTTTTCTTCAAAATAAGATATTCTTGAATTTTAAAAGGTCACTCGTTAAAGAGGTAAAGGTGGCGGTGCTGATAGATGCGTTTCCTCTTGTGATGTGACAGCCTAGGGTGACAGCACACATGACTTCAGGCCCTTAGTTTATCATCAGGACAGGAGGTGAACAACCTATCCGCCTATATCCAGCTGCTGGACAATTGTTTCAGTTAACAAATACTGTGCCCATGGCCGTTTTCACAACATTGTATCGGGCAGAGCATTATTGTGCTTAGTGTTTGCACAACATTGTATCGGGCAGAGCATTATCAGAGCATTATCGTGCTTGTTTGCACAACATTGTATCGGGTTGAGCCTTAGGGTCAGAATCCATGTCAGCCTGTATTTTATAAAGGACTTGGGGGTCAAGTGAAGCAACAGACACCCCAAGACAAAGTAGTTGACTGTTACAAACCAAAAGGAGCGTCTCTCAATATAAGGCTTTAGAAGGCCGGCCTGGTCTAGCTTTTTGTTGTTGTTTTGTTTTTCTTACAAATCAGAAAGCCACACCTTCCTGGGGAAAATGTAGTCCATCTAATATAGATGGGTGGCTTTGAGTGGGAAGAAGGGCAACTGTCCTGCTGATCTTCAGACCCTGGCACTCGGGTGTAGCCAACATGATGATACTGTTGGGAATAATTAACTAGAACCACCTGTCCGTCAGACAACTGAGCGCACAGAGGGCGGCTTAAAGTGGGTTTGCCTTGCCTGTTCCTGACAGGAAGGAGGCCTGTGTTAAAGCACAGGGGAATTTCTGGAGACCGTGCCCGGAAGGAAGTACATGGGATCCCTTACGAAAACCGAGGGAACTAGCAACTGAAATTCAGTTACCAAAATGTGCTTTGAATTTCTGCATACTTTGGCTTCAGTAAGGATTAAGGTAAATTTTCTCATTTTTGAAAAACCAAAGATTACAGTGTTCTACTATAGGCCCAAAGGATTTTTTAAAAAAAGGAACAGTTATTTAACTGTTAAAAAAAAAAAAAAACTCTCAGATTAAATGACGAGTGAACATTTAATTACTAAGCACCACAGAAGCCATACACTAAATCAATAAGCTTGACTACCCATAATTAATAAGCTCAAAAATAGAACGGGGAGACTTCTGGTTCTGGCCAAGATGGAGGAACCGGCACTTGATTTATTTCTTTTCTGTCACCGGAAACAATCAAAGCATTAGATGAGACACACATAGGATGGTATTTGAAGACAGTGGCTGCTCCCTGACGTCTGGGGAGCAGATGCAAGCCAAGAGAGCTCTGGTGTCCACTCAGGGACCAGTTCTGGGCAGTGCAGGTAGAGGCTGGGGGACACCACAGCAGGAAAAGAGATTCCTAGGTGACCCTGGTGCTAGGGTTCACAGGGCACAGCTCAAATAGAAGGGAACAGCTCAGGAGAGGGGTGGGGATTCACAGCGGGCGCTGCCATCGAGGAAACTATGCCAGTCCAGGACAGCGCCAACTAGTGGAGAAAAATGGTATCTGGAACCCACTATGTAGCCCAGGCTGGCCTTGAACTTGAGACAAGGCAAGGGCAGTGAACATATGCCTGATACCCACACGTTTAAAATCAGAGGAAGGAACACTTAAAGCAGAGATGTACAGGGCGGCAGAGACTCAAACAACCGGCCCTGGGGAAAGGACATCACCAGGCCGGCATAAAAACGTGTTGCAAGGGATGCAAACTGGAAGAAGGTAGTGAATGTATCTGAATGAATATATGAAACTCAAATGACAAATAGGACAGAAGGAAAGAAGCAAACATAGCCGAGTGTCACTCAGCTGTGGACACCTTCATGCAGTCTTGTATAAGTCTAGCTGATATCTCTAAAGAAGAAGATATGTTAAAACAGTGAACAGTAAATAAAAACGGTGTTGGAGAGACAGCTCGATGGTTAAGAGCACTGGCTGCTCTTCCAGAGGACCTGGGTTTGATCCCAGGGACCCACATGACTGCTCACAACTGTCTAACTCCAGTTCCAGGGGATCTGATGCCCTCCTCTGACCTCATGTAGGTGCCAGGCATGTACGCAGTACACAGACCTACATGTAGGCCAGGTGCTCATACACACGAAATAAACAAGTACCACAAAAAGCAAAATCCTTGAGTATGTCTTTGGAGAAATAATGTTGGGAACATTTACTAATCTGAGAATTAGAAACTCCGAGATCTGCAGATGTCTATGAAGAGTCAGGGACAAAACACACATGCAGGCACTACACCAAGGCATACCACAAAAAACTGTTCACACTTGTGGCGGGGACTGGAGGAGTAACTCAGGTTATGAGCACTGGCTGTCTTTCCAGAGGACCAGGGTTCAAGTCCCAGCACTCACATCGTAGCTCACAACCACCTGTAACTGTAGTTCTAGGGGATCCAACAGTGTCTTCTGGCCTCCATGGGTAACCCTGGACAGTGAGAACTCACATGGCATACCGACACAGATGCAGGCAAACACCCTTACATATAGAAATAAAAATAAAATCCGAATTGTGATAAAGTCATAAAAACAGTGTGATGGCTAATCTCCTTTGTCAACTTGATGCCCTCCAGAATCACCTGGGAGATGAAGCCTCAAGATGCACTTGTAGGGATTATCTTCATTAGGCTGATGATGTGGGACCCGCCCACTATGGGTGGGATCCTGGGCCAGCTGGGATCCTGGGCTGCACAAAAGGGTAGAGCATTCGCCCCTGTCTGGGCCTTGACTGTGGAGACTTGTGACCTGCCATGGCCATTCCTGTGACTTCCCTGCCACCTGTAGGCTGTAACCTTGAACTAAGACACACCGTCTCTCCCTTGAGTTAGTTGCCTTTGTCAGGATATTTTATCACAGCAACAGAGGAGTAACCAAGACAGATAGTCTGGGGAAAATGGAGACATTCTGTAGAAAGCAAGCAGAAGGTAATGGCAGACTCCTCACTATAGATATAATAAACGAGAAGACAACAGAATGCCATTCTTTTTTGTTTCTGTTTTAGAGACAGGGTTTCTCTGTGTAACAGCCCTAGCTGTCCTGGAACTAGCCAAACTCAAAATTCCACACCCAGTGAAAACATCTTTGGAAAGCGAAGGCAGGAGGAGGAGGGCAGGAGGAGGAGGGACACACGAGAAGCTGGACGAACGCTAGGCCTAGCTGCCTACACTGTGGGAGATGCTGATGTAGGGAGCCCTTCAGACGGAAGGGAAGCCACACTAGACAGAAACACAGGCCCGCGAGAAGGGAGGAAAGCAACAGACCTGGAGCTACTTGGTGAGATGTGTGAACCTCTCCAATACTCAAATTTCGTTAATGCGCAGTCCGATGTTTCCACAGCAATCACAACGCAGTGTGAGGTGTGGGGTGTCGGGGAAGTGACAGCTCAAGGATTGGGGTGGGGGAGAGGAACTGGAGTATGTTCTTATAAAGCTACCACACAGGGCTGGAAGGGTATGTCAACAGCACCCTCTTCAGCACAGACCATATGTATACAGAAATCATATGTAACTACATATGCACATAGCTATGCACTTCAAATAGGAAGACACGAATAAGCTGAAAGTCAGTGGACAGAGGACATAAGCCTGCTATAGAGAGAGCCCAGTTTGCACTTACCATGAGTAGCTTTCAAAGCAGGGTACTACTGATAATGTAAAAGCATGGGTCCGTTAGAGCATATAATGATCCAAGTGTTTATGTCCCTCAGAGCAGGCCCTTAAAATACGTGGTTAAAAGCTAACTTGATGGGGGTGCGTGGGATTAAGGTGCATTGATTACACGTGTGAAACTGTCAAAGGATAAGTAAAGATAGTCTCTCAAAATACTTTTTAAAAGACAGTTGAGGGGCTAGAGAGCTGGTTCCGCAGTTAAGAGCACTGGCTGCTCTTCTAGAGGACTTAGGTTCAATTCCCAGCACCCACATGGCCGCTCACACCAATTTGTGATTCCAGTTCCAGGGGATCTGATGCCCTCCCCTGGCCTCTGTAGGTACCAGGCATGCACATGGTGCCTAGGTATATATTGCAGGCAAAACACCCATACATAAAATAAGACAAAAATAAAATAAATCTTGGGGGGGGAAAATCCATGGATTGAAGAGCAAATGAAGAGAGAAATAAGAACCCATTTTGACTGGATTGGAAATTGCAAGCACAGCTGGGGGTGGGGCGGGGCGGGGTGGCCTGCAACATTAATGCCTGAAAGGGGATCATTTGTGAGTTTGTCACCAGTGTGGGCTATAGAGTGAGATTCTGTCTCAAAAAGAAAAGACTGAACAAATGTAAAAAGAAACTCAAAGGTGAGCACAATGTATCTAAACCAAATCACGCTGCTAACCTTACAGGGCAGTGTGAGGCACAGAAAATAGGGACAGCTTTAAATCGGTGACCTCAGCTGGCATTGTGTATTAAAAATCAAAACAAAATAAAATACCTAGAAAAACGGTGTCACCTGAATCTAAAGTGAGCAGAGGAAATAGTGAAGATTAAAGAGGAAATTAAAAATAAAATAAAACAAGGAAAGCAAAGCTGACTCCCTTAGGAAAAGAACTGTACTTAGTAACTTTGTATCAACTTTGTTAACAATAATAATAAAGACGGACAAAACAAATGACCACTCAGGAATGAGAGGAGGCTGGCATTGCCTCACAGGCACCAAGATAATTAGGAACTTTTCTCAACAATGTTGTACAAAGAAATTCAAGGACTTGGAAGAAGTGGCCAAATACTTCAGAAGACACCAATCATCATAGTTGGCTCAAGAAAAAAAAAATCTGACCATTACACTAAAATAACTGAAATTTGAGCTGGTGAGATGGTTCCACACATAAAGGTGCTTGCCCACAAGCCTGGTGACCTGAGTTCTATCCCTGGAACCCACATGGTGGAAGAGGAGAATCGACTCATGGATGACCTCTGATCTCCACACATGCACTGCGGAATGCTGGCGCGGAAACACACGCAGAACAAACAAGCATAACAACATTCTTAAAAACTGAAATATAGGCTTTTCCTACAAATAAACATCCAGGCTTCACCAACAATTTCACCTCATGTGTGGGAGAAAAAGAAAGTCAATCTACACAACTTCCCCCGAAAGAGAGCAATAGGGTGGCTGTCCAGCCGGGCGGTGGTGGCGCACGCCTTTGAACCCAGCACTCGGGAGGCAGAGGCGGGCGATCTCTGTGAGTTTGAGACCAGCCTGGTCTACAAGAGCTAGTTCCAGGACAGCCTCCCAAGCCACAGAGAAACCCTGTCTGGAAAAACAATCAATCAATCAACCAAACAAGGGTAGTCATTGAAAACAGCAATGAAGGCCACACTGCCACCAGACCAGTCCACGGAAGGTAGAGTCCACATCAACCTTCATCAAAGTTAGACGCCTCTGCTCTTCCAAAGACGTCGTGCTACAGCATGAAGGCGCGGGCTACACCAACACAGTGTAAAAGCCTGCACAAAACCCATCTCACAACACTTGAAAACAGAAAGCACAAAGAACCCTCAAAACCCACTAGCCATCCAATTTTTATTTTTTTACTTTATGTATGTGGGTGCTTTGCCTATGTTATATGTGTGTCTGTGTACCACATACATGCATGCCTGGTGCCAGCAGAGGCCAGAAGAGGGAGTCAGAGCTCCTGGAGCTGGAGTTACAGATGGTTGTGAGCTAGCATGCGGGTGCTGGGAACTAAACCTAGTACTCTTAAGTGCTGAGGCATCTCTCCAGCTCCTACAACTCAATTTGTTAAAAAACGGGCACAAGATTTGAGTAAGCCTCTTACCAAGAAATACTTCTAGATGGCCAATGAGAGGTGCTTAGCACCGAATCCCCAGAGGCACAGACCCAAGCCATAAGATTCTGTCACACACTAACTTACATGGCTAACATGGAAAACCTCACCAGCCCAGGCATGGTGATGTAAGTGGGTCCCGGAGAGGCTAAGTAGGGGAGGTGGGTGGAGTTGTAAAATAGTGCAGCCTTTAAGAACATTTTGGTAGTTTCTTGAGAACTTAAACGTAACGCTTCCACAGGGTGTAGGCATTCTGCAATAGACAACTACCCAAGAGAAGCTGAAGTGCCTGTCTTTGTAGAGCCCTATACACCAGCACTCACAGCATCCTCGACTTTAATAGCCCGAAAAGGAAGGGATCTCAAGTCGGAACTGGGATTTCAGGGAACGTTTAATGTCCTCCTTTTTGCTTGTCTGTATTAAGAAAAGTATGTTTTGAAAATCTTATTACATCTGGGAAAGCGATAGGAATCCACTTTGCTTTGGGTCCTGAACACTTCGCTCCCCATTCTCCCCCGACACCAGTGGCAGACTTGTGGCTGCTGCTCCTGGCACAGTGGTGACTGGGAGAGGCGGAGCCCAGTGGGGCCCTCGGGTCATGGGTTCACGCCCTGGAGGGTGCTTTGGAACTCCACCTCTCTCTCTTGTTCCTTGGGGACGAAAGGGGAAGCTGGCCTCCACCACACACTCCTGGAATGAACTGTCACCTCATCAAAAGGGCCAACTGACCGAGGACTGAGGACCCCCACCCCAAACTGTGGGCCAGGTAGACATTTTCTCCATTAAGTTTACTATTTTAGGTATTTCGTTACAGAGACCGAAATCTGACATGGAAACCATTTATGAAAGTCACAATCTAAAACCTAACTAGAATAAAAATGGCGCACTCTCTACATGTATAAATGTGCATGTGCATGTGTGCGCATGTGCGTGCGTGCGCTATCTTACTTTTGAGACTCATACTGGACCTAAAGCTCATCAGTCCATGCGGTGTCTCTTGTCGTTGTGTCCACAGTGCTGGGATTGCAGTACAGGTCCATGACTCTATGCCTGGTCTATTGTGCAGGTTCTAGGGGGGTCAGAGTGAGGTCTTCATGCTTGTACAGCAAACGATATGCTGACTGAGCCACCTCTTCAGTCCCCCAAAAGACCACTTTTAATAATATAACATTAAAAAACATTCATGTCATTTTGTATACTGTGTATGTGCTTGTGTCTGTGTGTGAGTTTGCACACATGGGTGCAGTGCCAGTGGAGGCCAGAAGAGGGCACCAAACCTCCTGGAGCTGGAGTTACAGGGGGTTGTGAGCCGGCCTATGTCCGTGCAGGGAACGGAACACAGGTCTTCTGCAGGAGCGGTACATGTTCTTAACCACTAAGCCATCTCTCTACCCATATAACACACTTTCTTCTGTGCTTACTCCTTTTATGTCCTTACAAAGATAATAAAATTTCACTATAGAAACCATAACTTGTTCCTATATTTTTCAGGTGGAGGATACACACAGTATCTTATGTCACAGAAAGGTGCACAGTACCTTTTGGTGTGTGGCACAAAACCCTCAGTATTGCTCAGGTTCATTGTGGTAGCAATCTCTTCTCTTTCGCAATCCCAGCCTTCCACACCTGTGGACAGAAGGGTAAAATACAGGATTATAGAGAAAAGCGAGAGAGGAAGTTACTAAAGCTGGATGTAATAGCCGACGTTTGTGGTCCCAACAACTCCGGAGGGTGGGGACTGCGGATGGCTGGAGTCCTGGAGTTTGATGCCTGTCTGTGTGACCTAACGAGACCTTTGCTGCTGGTAGTTTCAAATATTTACAAAAATAATGTAAAGCATTTACTGCTGTGCATGGATGACAGGTGTAAAGGAATCACTATGGGCTACTTAGGTTCCCAGAGGATGAACACGTCACTAGGTTCAGGATCCACCCGGAGGAGCCAGCAGGTATGTGTGCTTTCCTCGTAACTCAAGACTACCCACCAGCGCTGCAAGAGTCGGATCGGCAGTTAAGAGCACCACGCTGCTCTTCCAAAGGGCTCAGGCGTGGTACCTGGCACCCACATGGTAGCTCACAACCACCTGCGACTCCAAATTCAGGGGGATATGATGCCTTCTTCTGCTCTCCTTGGGCACTGGACACACACAGTGCACAGACAGACATGCAGACAAAACTCCCATACACATAAAATAAACAGAAATAAATCTCAAAGGAGGAAAGAAAAAGGAAAAAACAAACTGGCAAAAATAAACAAAACGTAGAGGAGAATAATGACAAACCCTGAGTAGCAGTATGCAGCGCTAATCTAACAGCATGCGGTGTTATCACTGACTGGGGGTGGGGCGCGGTGGGGGCAAGGCTGGTGACTTCAGCCACGTTTGCAATAGCCATGAGATACACTGTCCCATCTACTTCCTTTCCCAGGCTCATCTATAACAAATTGGCCACATTTTCATGTCAACTATTGGTTTTAAAGTAGCTATTAAAGAAATACATAACCAATGTAGAAACAAATTTGGAAACTTTTTTTAAAAATTCGTGATACAGGGGCTGGGCAGTGGCTCAGTTGGTGAATCTCACCTTGCAAGCATGTGGACCACAGTCCTCTGAGTGGACCCAGGACCTGCATTCAAAAATAAACATACAACCTGGGCATGGTAGTTTTTAATGCCCCTGCTGAGGAGGCAGAGGCAGGTGGAGGCGGGTGGAGGCATGGGGTCGGCTGGCCAGCGTCTAGCTGAGTTGGTGAGTCTCTCACTAGCTGATATACTCAAAGTCACCAGTACTGTAGAATGATAGGCAAGCTTCCACATGCAGTCCCCTCCCCGCCCCCCCCCCAAGCATTCGTAACCCTTGTTAACAACTGGCTTTCCTTTCTCTGTGTCCACATTTTTTTTCCCTGCCTGCAGTTCTGATATGTAGCTAACATCAGCACAGAACCTTTTGTCTTGGCTTTGCCAATCTCATCAGACACTGCCCTCAAAGACTAACGACTGCTCATTGTTGGTCTCACAGAAAGGCAGCTGTTCATTCACAATCAACTCTCCACTACTGGAGAGGGAAGTTTTATACTGGTTCATACTGGTTCCGGGTATCCAAACTCATGTTCCCATGCTTGGGTGAGAAACTCTCTACCTGCTGAGCCAGCTCTCCAGGCCTGGACTATGCAGCCCTGGCTGGCCTGGAGACTCCCTATGTGGATCAGGCTGGCCTCAAACTCACAGAGATCTATCTGCCTGTCTTTGTTTCCCGAGGGCTGGGACTAAAGTTATGCACACCACACCTGGCCTGGGAGTAGGTTTTTAAAGCCAGGAGACCTTGCAGGAAGAAAAACAAATAACTACAAGAGATGTCTCAACTTCCATCTCTTTTTCTGTCCCCCTCTAGCTGGGGACACGCCAAGTCTCCTCTTGTGCCTGCATTTATGAACCACAGTTGCTGCCCCCCCCCCCCGCAGTGATATCTGTCATTCCCTCTGGTTCCTTCTGCGACTTGCTTTAGATTAGCTACAGCCTGCCTGCATTCAGCACCAGATTTCTCCTAATCCCTAAACCACCAGTAACTCCATGGCTCATTCTAGTCTGACTGTAGCCTCCATAAGCCAAAATACTCCAGATGACATTGTGTGAAAGCTGCTGAATAAACTTCTGATGTGAGCGTATGTACCTGTGTGTGTATGTGCATACATACACTTCAATGTCAGGTGTATTAATCACTTCTGTCTGTCTGTCTGTCTATCTATTTATGATCTAGCTAGCTATCTAGCTATCAGTCATCTACCATCTGTCTACTTATCATTTATCAATCTATCACCTATCTCTCTATCATCTATCTACCATCTCTCTGCTACTTATCATCCATCCATCCATCCATCCATCTATCTATCTATCTATTTATCTATCTATCATCTGTCTACTTATCAATCAATCAATCAACCAATCGTTTGTCTGTCTGTCTCAGACAAGGCCAGGAGCTCACTGATAGGGCTTGGCTGTCTGGCCAGTGAGCTCCAGGGAGTCCCTATCTTTCTCCCCAGTACTGGGGTTACAGGCACACCCTCCCACTCCTGGCCTTTCCTGTGGACAGAGAGCAAGCACTTCACTGACTCTGCCACCCCCTCAGGACTGACCTCTAACTTTAACTCTTTGCTTTGGTGCTAAACAGTTAAACACACTCAGGGTAAGGTACGCGTTCAAGTTCATTCCTTGGTTGAGCTATGTGTCCTTGAGTTACCACTTTAAAAAAAAAAAAAAACCTGTTTTATTGAAATACAATTCCCATATCTAATCTACTCATTTAAACTGAGAAACTCAGTGGTTTTTTGGTATTTTCCCAGGTTATGGACAATTGTCACAACAATATTTTTAGAAACCCACAGCCTTCACTGTCCCACCCTTCCACGCTAGGCAAACCCTGCCCAGACCCTGTCTCCTTCCATTTCCTGGTTCCCGATAGAACAGGCTCATACAACGCGTGGTCTTTTGGAGCTGGCCTCTTTCATGTGGTATAGCCCACCATGTAGCATGAATCAGTATCTCAAGTCTGGTCAATGCCATGTAGCATTCCACTATGTGAGCATATCACAGTTTGCCCGTCACAGGCCAGCGGATGGACACCTGGGCTGACCGGCCAGCGGATGGACACCTGGGCCGTGTCCACCTGTTGGCTTTTGTGAATAATATTGTTACAGTCATACAGCCTGCAGTTTTTGAGTGGGCTTCTTTTTTTATTTCTCTTGAGTATGTACCCAGGGCTGGACTAGCTGGGTTCTTTAGCCTCAGTGAACAGCTGAGGATCCAGGAAAACCAGCACCAATCTCCTCTTGTCCGATTCAATCAGAACCAAAAATGAGACTCCAAACCCACCCTCCTCTCCAAACAAGACTGGATACATTTTCCCCGGGGACGACTTCATTTTGAGCAGTAGCTTAAATGACATGCGTAAAATCCTCTTCCCCCCTCGGCCTCCGGCAACCTTAAATGTCACAGGGTCGGTGACAGGTGGGAACAGTACCGAGAATGCACCCTTTCAGGTCTCGGGCCCAAGGGTCAACTAAACAATCTGGCCAGCACAGCGTAGCTCCCATCAGCGACAGCAACTGAAATAACACGGTTTGCTCTCGCTCCTCGGAAATGGAAGCCTTCCCAGGATGGGAAGCCAGCAAGTGGCCTGTTCACAGGCCTCGTGGAAAAAAGAAGAAACGGAGAAGAGAAACACAGAGTTTCCATGACTTCCCTCCCCAGCTTGGAGGATGATTCACTTAGGCTCTCTCTTGCTTTGCCTTTTTTTTTTTTTTTTTTTTTAAAGATTTATTTATTTATTATATATACAATGTTCTGCCTGCATGTGTCCTTGCAGGTCAGAAGAGGGCACCAGATCTCATTTACAGATGGTTGTGAGCCACCACGTGGTTGGTGGGAATTGAACTCAGGACCTCTGGGAGAGCAGTCAGTGCTCTTAACCACTGAGCCATTTCTCCAGCCCGCCTTTTTTTTTTTTTTTTTAAGGTTTATTTATTTTTATGTGCATTGGTGTTTTGCCTGCATTGCATGTCTGTCTGTGTGAGGGTGCCAGAGTCCCCTGGAACTGGAGTTACGGACAGTTGTGAGCTGCCATGTGGGTGCTGGGAATTGAACTCAGGTCCTCTGGAAGAGCAGCCGGTGCTCTTAACCTCTGAGCCGTCTCTCCAGCTCCAGCTTTGCCATGTCTTAATCACACCATTCTGGGACACACCAGGAGCCAGCAAAGCTGAACCCCACAGTATTTCAACATCAAGGAAGGGGTGAATGCTATATATACACTGGGCCCCGGCCCCTCCCCCTCCCCCTTCCTTTCTCTCCCTCTCCCCTTGCCCGCCTCTCTTCTCCCTTCATCCCCTGAACATGCCGAGTCTCAGGAACGTAACTGTCACCCCACACCTGCACAGAAGTCCTTCCTCAAACGAAAACCCAGAGTTTCTTATTTCCAAGCCCAGAAAATTTCCCCTGCATCATACACCCAAGTCAAACTTCCATATAACCCAAGTCATTATGTTCTGGAGGGCAATCCCGAAACATTTAGTGTCATGTGATTGGGTTCCTGTGTCATCTACGCCCCCGAGGCTGTCCTAACACTTGGTATAGAAGTGTAGAGTGTGTCAGCCCAGGAGTGGAGAAACTGGGGGGCATCTTTAAGGAAAGAATACAGGGCCAGAGAGGTGGGCTCAGAGGTTAGAGCAGGTGATTCACAACAGCCTCTAACTCCAGCCCCAGGGCATCCTATGCCTCACACACACACATACTTACATGTACGCATGTGAATATACAGATATACATGAATATAAATAATTAAAAATAGATCTTTAAAAATAATATAAAATTATCACATAAATATAAGCCCAGAGGGCTTGGGATATGATTGGACAGCCAAACACTTGCCAAGTGTGTACAAGGTCCTAGGGCCATCCCTTAGCACAGCACAAGAGAAACAAAGGGAGTGTGGTCAGAGGACCTTGAGGGGGACCAGTAACTTGGGGTCCACATTGAAGCCAGTTTCTAAAAATAAACTATTAGTCATCTCTTGGTGGCAGAGAGTGGGCCAAGGCATTGGAGGACCAAAGGGTTGGGGCATTAGAGGAGAGACTGG